CTTTACGTTTAGGATAATCCGTCATTGTTAATTTATACCCATTTATGACTTTAATATTTCCTTGACCATCAGTAACGAAAACTTCATTTATTCCATCAGGTTTTCCATTTGGACCCGTAATGTCTGCTTCGTGTGCTTCCCAATTTGGTCCGTGACGTTTGGCATATGCTTGAGCTTCTGGTAATGTTAAAACGTTTCTCATTTGTTTAACATCCTTTTGAAGACCGGCAACAATGTGGACTAATTCTTTCATTCCGTCTGGAACTTTCATAGTTCTATTATATGCACCCTTTTTGTTTGTTCCTTGTTTTAATGGAACCTGTAGAAGATTTGCAATTTCTGTCATGTTTAATTATAAATAAAAAATAAAAATTAATTATAAAAAGTTATTCGAATTTAATGGAACCTTTATTTAAATCAACTATTATTTTTCCATGTTCTCCTAATTGTTGATATTGTGTGTAAAGTTCATTAATGCTCATTGGTAAATTCACTTGATAAAGCATAACGTTCAACTGTTGACGACTAAAACCACTGAAAATGAAAAGGGTGGACAGGTTTGATTTAATGTTTGTGCTTAATGCTTTAAAGTATTGAACAGCCATGAAGAATGAACACTGAATGTGTCGACATTGAGTTAATAATTGATTAAAATATGATTTCTCATTAGTTATTAGTTTTGATTTCACCGCATCATCTAGAAAAATGAGTGAATGCAAAAATTCTCTATCAAAATTTGAAATAGAAAGTGTTTCAAATAATTCATCCCGTTGTTTATCAATAATTTTATCCTCTAATCCTTGCTTCTTGATTGTATTATATAATTCTTTATACATTACAAAGTTTTTTAAATAATCTTCTGCTTCTTCTTGTGATAAATAAATAATTGGAATTTTGATTAAATGCTTTAAAGATTCAAATGTATCATCTGAAGGTGAACCTGAACGGTTGATATAAATTAACACATGTGAATAGGGTGAAGTGTTAGCAATAATGATAATTTGTTTTAATATCGTTAATGTTTTACCTTTATTTTGTTTACCAATTGCTGCAGTGATTGAATTTAAGTAACATTCAGAATATGGAATTTTCATTAATTTTTCCTTAGATAGAGCATTTCTATTATCACTCAATGCTTCATTAATCATATCATCTACGTATGTATTATATACTCCTGCTAATTCTTCATAAGGGGTGGATGAATTTAAATCCATTTAATCAAAAATAAATTTATAATTTTAAACATTTCTATTCATCAATATTTCATCATATGAACTTCTATACTGTGGTGGTGTACCTGTTGGATGATATTTCAAACCTTCATCCGGTGTCCATGTCCAATATGTAGTCCTAGTAAACCAAACCTGAGGAGGATTTGTCACTTTGAACAGTAAGTGTCATTTTCACCCTGAATGATTGGATAAGCTTTCACTTGTACTGTAACTTGTGAGTTGAAAGTTTCTAATCCATCAAAGAATATACCCGCTCCATCACGTTGAACTGGAATAGTGCATAAGAATGAAGTTTGGTCTTTCCATGTTCTAGCTAATGGCGTGCCATTATCATCATTCAGTGGTCTAGTTAATGAGTCCTCGTATTCTTCTGTGCATTCATTCACTCCATCTAAATCAGAAGCTTGAAGCATACGTGTAAAGAATATGTCACCCACTGTGGTCATCGCTTGATCGGGGAAGTTTCTGGAATCTATAGTGACCTGAAGACCTCGAAGCATTGGATTTTCTAAAACCGTTCTTTGCATTGCATTCTTCGGAAATGTTAACACAACATCTGTAACATTATGAAGAGCGTATGAGAAATCTGAGCTAATACCTTCAGGAGTGATGCAACCTCCATTTAGTGAACGAACGTCAATATGTTGAGCTGGAATCATGAATGGATCTTCCTTACTAAATAAACGTGGTATTGCTTTAACTGATTCTTCAATTAAACCGTATCCTGGTGTAATGCATTTATCCTCTAAAACTTCCATCTTTGTGCATGAAATAATAACGTCTTCAACTGTTGCGTCAGCAGATGTAGTGGCTAAGCTTGTAATTAATTTGGCAGGAAGTCCGATTTGTTGGAATTTGCGATCATATTTATAAACATGATTCATAATCTTTTCATAATTTTCATCAGTTATCTTTTCATAAACGTAATTTTGTAAATCAGCAACTCTTAACGGGTCAACCTGACAAAATACTAAAGTATCCCTGAAAACATAATATTTAAGAATGATTTCACCAAATGATTTAGGATAATCATCGAACGCCTGAAATGCTAACAAATCATTTACCGGAATAATCATATCAAAAGTGACATCAACTTCTTCATTTGCTTTCTTGAAAACTTCTGAAGGGTCAATATATTTACCACATACTGAGTTATCATATTTTTGAACATTATTATATAACGAATGAACAAACTTTTTAACTTTCCTTTCTGATTTTGGTTTATATGTTGCAAATGCGAAAGATTCACGGGCGCAATCCATCTGAAGATAACCAGCATCACCTCTTTCGGTTTCTACTTCTAATTGCTTAAAGTTTTGATTTGATGATTTGTAACCAACGAATAAACGCATGCATTTAAAAGCGGCATCACATGTGAAAGCTTTATTTGAAACTAGAGTTGCTTTAACTTTGCGTTTAATATATGTGTCACCTAATTGGTTCACATCATGAGCCGGATTTGTAATTCTTAAATGAGTTTGTTTATCATCAAAATATGGAGTATCAGAGTCATAACATGAACTTTCAAGTTCTCTATAATATCTTCTACCATCATTCTTTGCAAATATTTCATTTATCTTTTCGAATGAATGAAACACATTTCCATTAATCGGTTTAGTGTTTGGCACAAATAGTTAGTCGTCATTTATTAAAATAAAAAATCAAAATTAAAAGATGAAAATGAATTTTTAATTTTAATGAAATAATCAACTATGGCTGCAGGATTCTTTAAGAAACTGTGGGATAAAGTAAAAAGAGGAGCGCATAAAGTTTGGGAAGGGATTAAGAAAGGAGCAAATTGGATATTTAAGAATAAAGAAGCAATTAGTGACGTTGCTGAACAAATAGCACCTAATGTTCCGGTAAGGGAAGTATTAAATAAAGGAGATAAGGTTTATCGTCGACTACAACCGATACTAAGATAAAAATAATATTTATTTATTTATTTTTCCACTATCTACCCCCTATTTTATTAAGTATTCCTTCAGCAATTCCACCAACTGCGTTACCTGCTTGTGCTCCCATCGCCGGATTACCTGCTTTAGCACCTAATACTCCTCCTATGATAGTTCCTGCCGTTTTCGCTACTGGTGCCAAAAAGTTTGCAACGGGTTTAATAATCTTTTGATGAACCCAACTTGCAGCTTTCTTAATTCCTTCCCATAATTTTTTAAAGAATCCTGCCGCCATCTCTGATTTAATATTAATTAAAAAATATATTTCATCACTTATATTCTAATTTTTTATTTAATGATAAATGAAACCGATTTTAAAAATAAATGAAACAGAGGAGGAAGAAATAAATGAAAGTGAAAATGTTCAACAAAAAATAAATGTTGTTAAACCAATTACTGAAATAAAAATTTTTTCATCTGTTGATGAATTTAATGACTATTATGCTAATAATAAAAAATTATTTGAAGAATTGACAACATGTAAATTGAATAAAATGTTTAAAGTTGAGGACAGAGTCCAAGACCCGGAGGGTCATGGATTCAAAATTTCAAAAATAAAAGGTGTTGTTAGTTTAAAATCTATTCCTCAATCAAGAATCACCTCATTAATGAAAATAGATGATTTAACAAAAAGAATAGAAATTATTGAAGAAAGAATGAATCAAATAATTGATTTCATAAATTCAAATAATCATTAGTTTCAATTTATTTTTAAAGTTTATTTATCATTCATGAAAATAATTATTTCTGATTTCTTTTACTCTCTCATACATACTAGATTTGAAGAATTCGGAACTTTTACCATAATCTCCTAAATGTTTTCTTATCCCCAACGTGTGCCAGTTATTATATGAAACTGAATAAACTTTATCTTTATCTTTACACCTTTCATCACTTCCAATATATTTATATCTCAGTTTTGATTTAGCATTTTCATATTCATTAACGTTTAATAATTCACAGTCTTCCTTTTTAAATTGATGTTTAAGATATTCAGGATTTAATACTCTACGTTTATATGCTCCTAACTTAGTTCTAAAGGTTTTTCTACAAAATTTAGGAATTCCATCCTCTTTAATGTCATCAATGATTTCCATTTCATTATTTTCAATTTCTTCTTCTCGTTTATGAGGTCTTTGATTATGACTCCATTGATTCCATGAAATTAAATATTCTTTATCATTATATTTATACCTCATTAGCTTATTTTGGCTTTCATATTCATTTAATAATTCACAATCTTCATTTTTAAATTGAAGTTTAACCCATTCAGGATTTAAACAATGTTTAATTAATCGCGGAATATCTGACATCATCTATATATAGCTTCTTTTATAAAAGATAAAAAAATAAATTATTTTAAAATTAATGTTAATTTTTGTAATGATTTATAAATAAATATATTTTAATGCATCGTCTATATATAGATGATACAAAAAAAGTCACACAACCCGCACTCATATACTACTTTTGCGAAAATAAAAATTTGACTATTTCTCTATCTCATATTCAAGGTATGTGTGTTAAAGGAGATTCCTATGTTGCTGAGAGAACTTCAATCTCTAAATGAAATATGAAATATGAACATTATTTAATTGTTTCCAATGATTCTCATCATGGATGCATGTCATTAACGGAAGTGGTTGTTATTACATATAAATATTGTCTTACATTGGCTGTAGGAATCGAAATTTTTCAGTCAAAATGTTTTCAGATGAAAATTTCTCTCTCAAGATTATCTTAATTTCATCTAATCTCTCGAAATAAAACAGAAAATCGAGATATCGAAATTGAGAGCAATCAAAATCTTTTTATGGATTCCAGCGATGATTTTAGCATAGAAACAAAGGATCTGAGTACGCTCTTTACCAAGGTAGAAAAGATCGGTCTGGGAACCTATGGCAAGGTTTATAAGTGTCTTGATATAAGAAAGAAACAAACTGTTGCTCTAAAGAAGATTAAAATCCTAAAGCCAAACGACGGCTTTCCTGTAAATACTGTTAGAGAAATCAAGTGCCTAAAAGAACTAAAACATGACAATATTATCAGATTAAGAAATGTAATTACATTATACAAACCAAATAAGCCGTCAACAGTATGGTTATCATTTGATTACTGTGAATTTGACTTATTTGGATTACTCCACAAAACAGATTTTCCACAATTATCAACAAAACAGGTTTTATGCTACTCCCGTCAATTAATTCTTGCAATGCTTCAATGCAAGCAAGCAGAAATACTTCATCGTGATCTAAAACCTGCAAATTTATTCATTACTCGTGATAACGTTTTGAAGATCGGCGATTTTGGCTTAGCTCGCAAATTTAAGTCTGACGATATTAAGTATACATATAATGTTATCACTTTATACTACAGAGCACCAGAGTTAATCTTAGGCTGTCAAAATTATCAATATGAAGTTGATGTTTGGAGTGTTGGATGCATTTTATATGAGCTTTGCACCAACAAATACTTTTTCAAGGCCCCTATAGGTAAAGAAATAGATCAACTTACTGCAATTTTCAAGATTACAGGTACACCTGACAATGAAGAGTGGCCAGAGTTCAAAGAGCTCGACAAAGGTGGTCTTTTTACTCAGAAGATAGAAGGCAACCTCCTTGAATACTTGGAAAAGACAATTCCACCTGAATTCGAAGGTGCCGCAGATTTAATCTCAAAAATGTGCAGGTTAACACCATCAAAGAGAATTTCTATGCAGGAGGCATTTATGCATCCTTTCATTTCACGTAATGGCCAACCAATTGAAGCTTCTCAGCTTCCTCCGATCAGTTTAATGGAAATGCACCAAATGCAAGCATCAGCTGAGCTCGGCAAGAATAAGAAAGATAAATCTGCTCACGATTCCCCACCAAGACCTGAGAAAGCTGAAATTTAAAGAATTATATAATATTGTTTTTGTAAATTATTGTAAATTTTATATTGTGATACACATTTCCAACACTGTTTATAGAATTTTTATTGTACTCATCAAACTATTGTTAAATAAAAATTATCGAAAATTTCAAAAATTATCACAGAATTAAATGATCAAATATATAAACTAGAATTAGTTTTATATGAGATGGTTTCTGATTCTGATAACAGATTAGTCTTTATGAAAGTACAAACAAAGATTTAACTCAGAAATCGCTCGAATTGATTAAAAATAGTTATGACACAAAGTTCCATGTGTTATATATTATTAGTGAATATGTTTCAAATCGAAAAAAAGAAAATTTCAAATCAAAAATGAGAAATCATTGGTATCATAAGAATTATGTAAATGAATAATATCAAGTTCGAAAATATATGGAATATTGGATAAATATTGTTCGGATTATTATGAAAAGAAATGAAATCATATAAGAAAAAAGACTACTAAAAGGTAATTAGTAGAGAATTAGATATATCAGATCTTTCATATTCGTGTTCTTAAATCATACCAATATGTAATCCTTTACATTTATCGGTAGAAGATCTGTATCTGAAAAAGGAATGTAAATGTGAAATATCTTGGATCTACTAAGAAATTTAAAGATGAATTTGTATTATTTCGAGGTGTAAAATATATTGAAAAATTTGAAATTTGTTATTTGACCTATCTTCATATAGATATTGTTGTACATGTGATAACCTATCTGTTTATTAGGGAGTTTCAGTTGTATATTTCGTAAATAAAGAATGGACGAATACACTTGTTGCCGATAACTAAATAAGAATGAAATATGAAACGCACTATATGAAACTAATGATATGTGAAAGTTTGAAGCAAATTTGACAATGAGAATATCAAAAAATATTAAAAGAAAGGTTGCAGATTGTTTTGCTTGCTTGTGTGAGTGAATCTAAGTATTACCATATCGATATTTGAATCCAGTAAACACTTAAAAATTTTCAAAAAAATTCGAAATTTTGAAAATGTTTTGGAATTTATTAGAAAAATGAAGAGAAAATGAGAAAATCAAAGAAAATTTGGAAGAACAAATTCGGAGAATAGAGAGATAAATACAATGACTAGTTATATCAATAAAAATTTCTCAAATCGATTGAGTTTGATCAAAATGAATTGTGTGACCAATTTATTTATAAATCGTTTTTGAATAAAATCCAAACTTTTATTAATAAGACATTATGGTTAGTTCAAATATCCAATGAGGTGAGATAACCATATTCGGGACAATGTTCCGAAGTTATTCAATTTTATGAAATCTATTGAATAATACATAACAGCCAATGATGAAATTTATTTTATCCTAACCATAAAAATATAAAATATCAATCAAAAATTGAGAAAGCGTCAAAACTAGCTCTCAAAAGTTGTCAAATGTCTTTACATATTTTATCATTTAACACCAAATTAGTAATACATCAAAATAGCAATAAATCCAAATTTGAAAAGATAAGAGATCATTAAATTGAATCTCCTATCGTTCTGAAAACCCACATGAAAGCAAAGGTATGCCCTATCAAATCAGCATAAAACCGTCATTTTTTGATCAGTTCACATTCTCTTCTAATGGCTGAAGAAGACGTTCAGACACTCGTTATCGATAACGGCTCTGGTATGTGCAAGGCTGGCTTCTCTGGTGATGAAGCCCCACGCTCAGTTTTCCCATCCGTTGTCGGCCGTCCAAAGTACAAACAACAATTAGTTGGTGGCAACGCCAAGGATGTTTTCGTTGGTGATGAAGCTTGCTCCAAGGCTGGTGTCCTCATCCTCAAGTACCCAATTGAACACGGTATCGTCAACAACTGGGATGATATGGAAAAGATCTGGCACCACACATTCTACAACGAACTTCGTGTTGACCCAACAGAGCACCCAGTTCTTCTTACAGAAGCCCCACTCAACCCAAAGGCTAACCGTGAGAAAATGATCTCCCTCATGTTCGACACATTCAACGTCCCATCCTTCTATGTCGGCATCCAGGCTGTTCTTTCTCTCTACTCTTCTGGCCGTACAACAGGTATCGTTTTCGATGCTGGTGATGGTGTTTCCCACACAGTTCCAATTTACGAAGGCTACTCCCTTCCACACGCCATCATGAGACTTAACCTCGCTGGCCGTGATCTCACAGCCTGGATGGTCAAGCTTCTCACAGAGCGTGGCAATGCTTTCAACACAACAGCCGAAAAGGAAATCGTTCGTGACATCAAGGAGAAGCTTTGCTATGTCGCCCTCGACTTCGATGCTGAAATGGAGAAGGCCGCTACAGACTCCTCCATCAACGTCAACTACACACTTCCAGATGGCAACGTCATCACAATCGGCAATGAGCGCTTCCGCTGCCCAGAAATGCTCTTCAAGCCATACTTCGATGGTATGGAATACGATGGTATCGACAAGACACTCTTCGACTCTATCATGAAGTGCGATATCGATGTTCGTAAGGATCTCTACGCTAACATCGTTCTTTCTGGTGGCACAACAATGTTCCAGGGCATCGCCGAACGTCTTGACAAGGAAATCACAGCTCTTGCTCCACCAACAATGAAGGTCAAGATCGTTGCTCCAGAAGAGCGTAAGTACGCCGTTTGGGTCGGTGGCTCCATCCTTGCTTCCCTCGCTACATTCCCACAGATGGTTATCACCAAGGAGGAATACGACGAAGCTGGCCCATCCATCGTTCACCGCAAGTGCTTCTAAATTTTCGGTTTTATTTGATAATTTTCTCTCTTTTTTAATAATTTCTCATCTTATTATATGATAACTATTGCATGATCTTTTTGTACTACTACAAATGTTACACATTGTTTGTTTTCTCCAAAATAGACGACAAGAGTCTTTATACATAAATATATATATACATATATATATAAATCACCCTCTGATTCACTGATATGAATGCATTGGATGAATATCATTTGTAAAATTGATAAAAGAGGCTGTCAAACGTCTTATTTCATATGATGCAAATATCAATGAAAGAGACGTTAAGGGAGGATGCAAAATTGAGTGATGGTTTCTATAAGGAAATTATCTCAAGATTTTTATAAGAATCTGGAACACTAAATGATATTGATGAGTTTACTAAGTTCGTTTGAATTGCCATTAAGTCAATTGATTTCAATCAATCAATCAATCAATCAATCAAATTTATCTGAAATCATTGTAGTCATTCTTTTCCCTATTCATAACATAGCAATTTCATATAATAATCAATTTCATAAATAAAGATAGTAAAGTAGACAATTAAAGATAACGAAAATATTTTTTTTTAGTCTTATATATATAAATAAATCTATAAATTATATCTATTTCATATTACATCTGATACAAATTGGCAATTTGAGTCATAAAGTTGATCTCTAAGAGATTCGAGCTGAGATCTGTTCGGAGGTCTCTCAGCCAGCCATTCATCAATAAGTTTGATTGCGACCTTGACCAACATCGGATTTTCTGGCGCTTTATCGCTGATACTGTCCTTATCTCTCTTGAGAAGAGGTTCAATGAATTTCCTCTCGATATCTGCATGTGCGGCTTCAGAAGCAGCGGCAGCTTCGTCTGGAGATGACTTGAGGACGTTGTCTGTGACAGTGGATGTTATAAGTGGCACGGTGATGTGACTTGTCTGAAGGAAGTCGAAAATGAACGAGAAGACAGATTTGTTCTGGTCTCTATCAGATGTGACAGAATTCACAACTTGAAGAAGAGAATTAATGTACCTTTCTGTGTCTTTGGAGAGATCTGCTGGAATTTTGACATTATTTGAGAAATTAGAGAAGTCTTGAATGACTTTCTGTAATGCACGGCCTGAAGAGGGCTGCCATATCGAGTTTGTGATGTATCTGGCAAGAATCCAAGGAATCTCATTTATATGATTGGAAATTTTCTCAGAAATCCTGACAATTCCCTTAGTTGTGAATAATACAAGTGAAATATTGTCAGAATCTTGTGTCAAACATTGGATTTTTCCGAATTCTGGAGCTTTCCAAAGATAAATTTCTTTTTCTGTTGGAGATTTTACGACGAAAAGCTTGTCATTGCCCTGTTTGACAGAATGCAAACCAGCAAACAGGCCATTGGCATAGCAAGCGTTAGAAAATAAATCAAATCCAAGATAATTTTCCAAATTTGTCATAAAATAGGTCGGCCTTGGGTTCTTAGGGTTAGCGTTAACATCTATTGCGTAGTAGGAACAGTTTGATCTGTAGATAATCAGGAAATTATGGAAAACTTTGATGCAAGTAATATTTCCGAGGTTTTCATTGTATTCTTCGACCAATTTGCCATTGGATACTCGATATTTGATGATAGTTCCTGAAACTAATGCTGACCAAATGTGTTTTGGCGTTTCAAAGATGTATTTGACTGGTGTTTTCTCAGTCTTTACTGATATATCATCGACAACAACCTTAAGTCCAGAGTTGTTTAATGGGATTAAATTAAATTTACGAATTAAACCGTCTTCGCAGCCTAAATACTCCTTATAACCGCAAGTAACATTGAGGCCATATGGCATAGTGCATTTGACTTCGATCTGATTGTATGTATCTTTAATTTTTTCTAAAATTGAAATTGAATTTTGTCTCGAAAGTATTAACAGATTTCTATTTTCGAATGTGTAGCTGAATGCTGTAATAATTGGGGATCTTGTTTTAGATTTGAAGATAATTTTAGAATCATTTGAAATCAAGTAAAACAATGATGATGAAGATACCCAAAATACTTGATATTCTGGAATGAAATTGCAAGCTAAAATCTCTTTGGAGGCAAATAGCTTCTTTATTTCTGGAGAATGCTTAAATATTTGACAATCAAGGAAAGAATTTTTAGTTGTTTGAATAATTCGAGGATCATTAGTAGTAGGTTCCTTAATTAAGTTCAAATACTTGTCAAGAGGATACTGTTCGTGTGTAATATTCTCTTGATTACTTCCAAACATTCTTAGAGTCACCTTTTTATTTTGTTTCTCCCCCTGCAGACACAATTCAGGCGTTTTTGGAAAGATTTATTTTAATTTAAAATCACATATGATAAATTTACTGGGATTGTAAATTCTTTTTGACCAATTCATTAAAATCAAAATTCAAACAGGTAAAATTTACGCCATTTAACATCATATGAGGGATATAGCCGCGTATGATTCTATATAAAAGCATGATTGGCACTCATCCGAAGAATTTTATAAACCAAAAATTGCAATGATCAAAGTATGATATCAATGACTCTCTGAGTAAAAATACAATTGTCTTGTAATACGAATTATAGAAATTTTAAATAAAATAAAGCGAATTATAGAAATTTTAAATATCAAAAATATTTCCTATACTATTAAATCGAAAACACGGTTGAAAAATTCTAGAATGATTGAAAAGTGTTTGATTCTTTAACACAAGCATTAAATAAATAATTTTTTATTCGGTTCAAGAATGTTAATCAAAACCGCTGAGAAACATAAGTAGTCATGATAATTAACCAATACATATTTCAGTTGCTGTAATAAAACTAAAAAGTATTAAAAAAAATTAGCAGCAAGACTTATTTTTGTCTTTCGGTGTTTCCGTAGTTGTAATATCAACTTTGTTAGATGGTTCTGTTGCCGATTGGACAACAAATGCTTGATCAGCGATAGTTTCCTTTAATAAGTCAATTCCGATGCCGTTCATAGCAGATGTTTCAAGAGTAAGAATTGCATTGTATTCTTCACCCATATTGCAGAGTTCTTCTAATGATACTGAACTTTCATTACGAAGATCACATTTGTTTCCAACAATAATAAGTTTAGCATCATCTGGAGCCTTGTCTCTAATAAGGTTGACCCATTCTGGAATAGATTCGAATGATGAACGTAAGGAGATGTCGCAAACAATAAGAATTACTGCTGCTTTCCTGAAATACATTGGAACAATAATTCTAAATCTTTCTTGGCCAGCAGTATCCCACATGTTAAATTCAACAACTCCTTTTTCTGTACTGACTGGAAAGATTGAGCAAGATACGCCAATTGTTGGACTTTGTTCATCAAGGAAATCATCGCCTTTCATTCTAAGGAAAAGGGATGTTTTTCCTACTGCAGAATCTCCAATTAATACAACCTTTAATTCAGCGTTGTTCATTTCTTAAAAAATGTCAAATTTCTTACCAAATCAGGTATCTTACATTTTTCAATTAATAACACCGGATAAATAATATCTTTTTAAAATTTTATATATTTCTGATTTACAACCTATATATTACATTTTTATTTTTTTAAAAGAAGATCCTAAATTGAAAGAAGGAAATTGTAAGAACTTTGTAAGATTTTTCGTATTCGACTTCTAGACTCAACATTGAGGTTTTAGAAAATCAACTTTTGTAATTATTAACAGTAGGTATTAATCCGAATAAACTATAATTTAGAATATGACACTTTTTTGGAATTGGAATAACTGAGTTTATCCATATTGCCGATATAGGGTCGAAAAGTGACAATAATGGAATTAATCATGAATCAGGAATCGGTTTGAATTTGGAATTGCGTATAAAGTTTACTTTATCCGAATCAAAAATTCTTGTCAATAATTAAGAATTGAAAGATAGATTTGTCATCAGAATTAAATTCATGCTTCTGGAATAGGAATCAACAACATAGAAAATATTGTTGAAGATATGGATATGTAAGATATATTGCTGATATAAATAAATAAAAGATATATGGTTGTGTGTGCTGGTGGAAAATAATGTGTTAAAGAAAAATCTGAACGATTTTTTTATTATCAATTTAGGCTGGAAAAAGTGACAAAATTATCATTTTCGTCAGGCATCATTATTATTGAATTATAATTCTATTTCTATTAATCTAAGTGCAATATTCTTATACACAACTTTATTTAATAGCTCCTCATGCATAATATTATTCAATCTCTAACTTCAAATTATTTCATTTTTTGTGTATTTTGAGTCAATTTTTTTTAGCGAAGTCAAAATCCTAAACTCGAACTATTCAATTTATTAACACCAAAATTTCCTAATAGATGCATTGTAATGCAATCTCATTAATTTGTCTTTTTAGAATAACCGAGAATTTTTTTACTTAATCACAGATTAGAAAGATTGGTCTCAGACCAGAGAAAAATTATGATATATTGATAATATGTCTTGAATGTGTTATATCATATGCAGTATTTATATTGATATTAGGGTTATGTGTATAGTTATATTGAGAATATGTTAATTTTTGCATGCCAATTCATTGATGCAGATGAATCCATAACAACTCTGAATAGGCAAAACATAGTAATATATACTACTATAGTAGTGTGTATAATATATGTATTACTAAGTATAAATTGACATTAGTCATATTTATGGTGACATTTTTTCACACTTTTCATTCATAAATTATTTCACACTACAATATTATTAACAATTAGCATTCTTGAATATTATTAACAATTACCTTATATATACCTTATATAAATCATCATAGTAATATAACCATATAGTACATATCTAGAATTTATGGTCATTTTTTGTCATATTCGCGAGTAAATATTCAATCTTATTATTAAGAAAAATATGTGCGATTTTATTATATTCTAATTCAAAATTCCAAATTCCAATTCCTAATTTACTAGCAAACCCTATTCTAATTCAATTATTCCATTATTGTCACTTTTCGACCCTATATCGGCAATATGGATAAACTCAGTTATTCCAATTCCAAAAAAGTGTCATATTCTAAATTATAGTTTATTCGGATTAATACCTACTGTTAATAATTACAAAAGTTGATTTTCTAAAACTCCATTTCCTTAATTCTGAGATTTTGGCGAAGGATATTTACATTGGGCAAATAAATGAGCATTAGATATAAACTCCTTTTCCTTCGTAAAGTCTCTTTTTCAAATTTTTGATAGAGACTCGCTCAATATTGAGGCAAAAACGATAGGGAGACTTTACGTAGAAAAATGTGTTTACTAAATTTTGAAATTTTGAAATAAAATTGTCCTGTTGCTGGATTCATTATGAAGACACCTCCATTTACAGGTAATTATCATTTTCATTGATATTTGCTCCATGTGAAATAAGAAGTTCGGCTGTTTCTTTGCTATTATTTATTGCTGCAGCATGAAGAGCGGTTTTTCCATGTTTATTTTTTTCATTGATATTTGCACCATGTGAAATAAGAAGATCTGCTATTTCTTTAAAATTATTTTCTGCTGCAATATGAAGAGCAGTTTTTACCTTTTTATCTTTTTCATTGATATTTGCACCATGTAAAATAAGAAATTCAGCTGTTTCTTTTCTATTATATTTTGCTGCAAAATGAAGAGCGGTTTGTCCATCATTATCCTTTTCATTGATATTCGCACCATGTGAAATAAGAAGTTCGGATATTTCTTTGTAATTCTTATTTACTGCAATATGAAGTGCGGTTTGTCCGTAATCATCTTTTTCATTGATATTTGCACCGTGTGAAATAAGAAGATCTGCTTTTTCTTTAAGATTATTCTCTACTGCAATATGAAGAGCAGTATTTCCATCATTATCCTTTTCATTGATATTTGCACCATGTAAAATAAGAAATTCAGCTGTTTCTTTTCTATTATATTTTGCTGCAAAATGAAGAGCGGTTTGTCCATCATTATCCTTTTCATTGATATTCGCACTATGTAAAATAAGAAATTCGGCTGTTTCTGTACTATTATATTTTGCTGCAAAATGAAGAGCGGTTTGTCCATCATTATCCTTTTCATTGATATTCGCACCATGTGAAATAAGAACTTCAGCTGTTTCTTTTCTATTATATTTTGCTGCAAAATGAAGAGCGGCTTCTCCGTAATTATATTTTTCATCGATATTTGCACCGTGTGAAATAAGAAGATCTGCTTTTTCTTTAAGATTATTCTCTACTGCAATATGAAGAGCAGTATTTCCATCATTATCCTTTTCATTGATATTTGCACCATGTAAAATAAGAAATTCAGCTGTTTCTTTTCTATTATATTTTGCTGCAAAATGAAGAGCGGTTTGTCCATCATTATCCTTTTCATTGATATTTGCACCATGTAAAATAAGAAGTTCAGCTGTTTCTTTACTATTATATTTTGCTGCAAAATGAAGAGCGGTTTGTCCATCATTATCCTTTTCATTGATATTCGCACTATGTAAAATAAGAAATTCGGCTGTTTTTTTTCTATTATATTTTGCTGCAAAATGAAGAGCGGTTTGTCCATCATTATCCTTTTCATTGATATTCGCACCATGTGAAATAAGAACTTCAGCTGTTTCTTTTCTATTATATTTTGCTGCAAAATGAAGAGCGGCTTCTCCGTAATTATATTTTTCATCGATATTTGCACCATGTGAAATAAGAAGTTCAGCTGTTTCTGTACTATTTTTAATTACTACAATATGAAGTGCGGTTTGTCCATCATTATCTTTTTCATTGATATTTATACCATGTGAAATAAGAAGTTCAGCTGTTTCTTTACTATTATTTATTGCTGCAGCATGAAGAGCGGTTTGTCCATCATAATCTATTTCATTGACATTTATACCATGTGAAATAAGAAATTCAGCTGTTTCTGTACTATTATATTCTGCTGCAAAATGAAGAGCGGTTTGTCCATCATTATCCTTTTCATTGATATTCGCACCATGTGAAATAAGAACTTCAGCTGTTTCTTTTCTATTAGATTCTGCTGCAAAATGAAGAGCGGTTTTTCCATATTCACCTTTTTCATTGATATTCGCACCATGTGAAATAAGAAGTTCAGCTGTTTCTTTACTATTTTTAATTGCTGCAAAATGAAGAGCGGTTTGTCCATATTCATCTTTTTCATTGATATTTATACCATGTAAAATAAGAAATTCAGCTGTTTCTGTACTATTATGTTCTGCTGCAATATGAAGTGCGGTTTCTCCGTAATTATATTTTTCATCGATATTTACACCATGTGAAATAAGAAGTTCAGCTGTTTCTTTACTATTATATTTTGCTGCAAAATGAAGAGCGGTTTTTCCATTATTATCCTTTTCATTGATATTCGCACCATGTGAAATAAGAAGTTCAGCTGTTTCTTTACTATTTTTAATTGCTGCATAATGAAGAGCGGTTTTTCCATGTTTGTCTTTTTCATTGATATTTGCTCCATGTGAAATACATTCATCATCTCCTTCATTATTGTCGATTATTATTTGATTGTATGACTCAAGTAATAATCTGCCAATATTAGAATTTTGCGCTTTACTTGCAAAATAAATAATTCCATATTTAGTGTGATTATGTTTGTTTGAAAATGTATTGTTTTTGAAAATATCTATTGTTTGCGGAAATGCAGCACCCCATGGAAAGATGTAATATTTGTTCCTTTTGAATAGAAGAAATACGGCATTAAGGTTTTGATATCTGATGATATCTTCATAAACAGGTTTATAGCTTGCATCATACATCCAATTCTCTTCTTTTTCCCATTTCCAATCCTCACCGTATAAATCATCAAGCTCGAATATCTCATTATCTAAAACATATTCAAGCAATTTGTGATTGTGTGTTCTTATAATGCTTCTGAGACAATCAATATCCATTTTATGTTTTTTCAAGCATTCGTTGATGATGTCTTGATTTCCTCCAATTATTGCGCTGCAAAGACAATTTTCAGTTATTTCACTAATATGATTTGAGGTTAAGAAATAAAAAATGTTAACAGATCCAAAGTATGCGCATGCTTCAATTAGTGATAACTCTGCAAAATAATCCATATCGTAAGGATTGTTCCTGAAATTAGGAATTTCGAGAAAAATATCACCAGATATTGAATTTTGAGTTAAATATTCCTTGAACTTATCAATTTGATCATGCATAACTATAAATTTAATCGAACCCTCCGTTTCAAAATGATAATCCGATACTCTGGTGAGGTCAGCCCCGATCTGTTCGAGTATTTTGACGTAATTCGCTCCGGATCCATAATTGTATCTAATTGCCTCATGAATTAACTTTGTAAGTTGCTTGATTGAAAGTTGATACTTCGAAATCAAAGTATTTGTAATTATACTGCACATATTTTCGATAGGTTCATTAGATTTTATGTGGAAGAGCTTTTCAAGCGCCCCTATAAAATCCGCATATTGTTTGGAATAGTCAGAACTCATAATAAAAATAAAATAAAAAAAATAAAAAAGATTGACTAGTCAAAAAATTAGGGTTGTTAGATTCCCGACGATAGGTGTCTTGGAAGATTTGCCTGGTGTCATCATAGTGTCTTTAAATCAAAAATTTTATTTTGGAGTTAGTTTTATTGATTTTTCAATAAAAAACATTTCTAAAACAAGAAAATAAAACGATAAAATATTTATATTTTATATAAGGATCTTATATATTTAAAATAAATATCATTTTATTTTTTTCATTGGTGTCTGTCAAACCATAATACACTATTCAAAAATTCAATGTGTCTTGCGGTTTCAAAAGACACCTTCAAATTGAACGATAGCACAGACACTATTGAATTTTACCCATTGTATTTAGTTTTTACCCTTTTTATTTTTAAGAATTAATGACTGAAACAGTCGTTTTGCTATGACCTCAATCACTTTTATTTATTATTTTAAATATTATTTAATTTTATTATTTGAATAGGCCAACTTATATTTGAGAAGCTCAATTTGAGACCACTTAATACATTGAAATATCATAAATATTGAAATATTAAAAAGTGTATTTCAAAATATTGAAATTATAAAATTTATAATACTGAAATTGAGACAAATTAATAAATTCAATGTGTTTTTTTGAAATAACTCTCAAATATTATTTTTTTGTTTATTTAATGATGAATAAATATGATTGCTTTAGTCAATCATAAAAACTAATTTAAGTTTAAAATAATGAAAGGATAATTTGATCGTTTTTTAAAATACAATTATTTTTGATGATTTGCAAGAATCTTTGAAAAGAATATAATATAGGTTCTATTTTTGTAAAATTTATCCAAATCATGTATGACATAAATTACGATTAAAACGATGAAAGAACCAAAAAGTGTGTTTTGTGTTTTGTTGTTGCGTGTTGGATGCGGGATCCTGTTATTTCCGAAATCGACAAAAAATTTGGAAATTTAATTTCCGAAATCGAAATTATATTAATGTTTTTAATATTCTTATATCAAAAGGATTAAAGTTCATTAAGAGAAAAACAATTCTTCTTCTTCAATCTATTGGCGCATTTATTTCTACACGCCAATAAGGAAGGGAAAATTATAAGACACCATGGTGTCTTCAAAACGCTAATTTTTGATATTTTTAACAACCCTATCAAAAATCAACTGTTCTTGAAAAATTTTTAGTATTTCTTCTAATTTAATATGATTTTTGAACGCTTATATCTTTCGCCAGAAGAGTTAAATAAGAAATGGCTTATAGCACAATGAACATATATGTCCAATAGTATCTAATTGACTCATTTGTATTGAAAACAAAGAACAAAGGCCATCTACATGAAAAATGCAAATAGATAATCCATAAAATTTTGTGAAATGAAACAGTCAAATCTCTCGGCAGCATATCCAACATGATATTTTTTTTCTAGCCAAGTACAACTAAACCACCTGCTGCTGACAGCTCAAATCTAATACGGATAGAAAGAATTTGAAAATAAAAATTATGACATGTGATATAAAATCTCCAAAATGGATCAAGATTTAGAATCAGAAATTACCGTAAAACCAGGATTTGCAGCTCCCAAAACAATAACGGATATGAAAATGTATCAGGATGGAACTAAATTTGATCTTGTTATAAATTCTTTGACCAAAAAACTTCAAGAAAATGATTCATCAAAAGAAGATACACAAGTTAATCTTGCAATTGCATATTTAGGCCTAGAAATGACCAATAAAGCACTTGAAATATTAAATAACGTGACCAAATCAAATAATTTATGTTCTCTTGCATATTTACTCCGCGGCATCACATATTTATGGATTGGAAAGGATGAAAACGCTTTGGCTTCATGGAAAGATGGACTTTCTCAAGGTGGACAATACACTCATTACTCAATAATGTCAAATCTTATAAATGACATAAATTTCCGCACACATGTATACACACTACGTTTTAATATTGAAAAGTTATTTGAAATCATTGAATCATGGGAACAATATCAAACTTTCGTAGATAACGATTTACGTGAAGCATATAAAGAGCTAGGAACAAATGTAGCCATGGCTATTACTCATTTCTCGCAAATTCTTGCAGTGGATCCTAAAAATTCCAGTGCATTTCTTGGTCGCGGTATTGGCTGCTGTTTAACAGGCCAATGGATCCGGGCAATAGACAATATCAACCATGCAGTACTAGAGAATTGCGAAAGTATGCACATGGCTCATCGTTTTCGAAGTGTTGCTTACGCTGCGATTGGAAAGTTCACTTATGCAATTGGAGACATCACGCGCGTCATAGGAAAATTCCCCAAAGACAAAGAAGCAAGATTACTCCGCGCAAGATACCAAATAAAATTAGGATTATTCAAACAAGCCTGTACAGACATAATGAGCATACCTAGCGATACATTAACAAGCAAGGATTGGTGTACACTCGCCGAATGTCTCTACGCAACAGGCGCTCTCAAAGAAGCTCTTGAAGCTCTTTGTAGAACTGACCAACACTCTCCAAACGCACTCTACATAAGTTTTCTTGTTCTTAGAGATGTCGGACAATACGATTTGGCCCTCAAAAAGATCTGTGCTGCTGTAGACCAACTTCCTTCGCCATTTATTCAGAGAAAATTGGCAGATTTCCTTTTGGAGGTTGGCAGGCCAGACCATGCGATTCCAATATACGAACAGTTCTACCAATTGTGCCGTGGAGACATTTCTGCCATACATTCTTGGGCAATTGCATTATTCGAAACTTGCAACTTGAAAGATGCGGCCAAAGTAATTGTCCCATTCGCAGAAAGTGCTGGACCAAACGGAATCCCAATGATGCAAGAACACGAACGACCAGAACTAAAATTAAACGGAGAACTTACATTTAACGGGACAAGCTTACTCGGAAGGAACATTATGGACAAAATATGGAACGATAGATGTCTTATTCTCGAAGTTATAAAGAATATCGATAATCCGATTACAATGTTATCGCCAATATCAATCGGCCCTGAGAAACCGACATCCAGTATTGATTACGAGAATTTTGTCCATCCGGAATTCAAGCCAACTCCTCAAGAAATCCAAATGGTTGCAGATGCCGACAGATTAGGTGCCAGATGTGTTCACAGAGGTATGGATGTTATTCAATATAACTCTCGTGTTGTCAGAGCCTTAGGATTTTGTGTCCTTTTGGCTGCTGCTTTAATGCGAGATTCATCTCTTCCTCCAAACATCGACACAGACCCATCCAGTGATGTAGAATCGATGATATCCAATGCTAGCAAGTGGCGTGGCCAAGGCCTCTTCCTTATCGACTTCTTTGCCTGTCTTTTAGGTCTCGCTTCTCCGATGACCGAAATCAGAGCGAATTACGACATGATGAGACCGGAGAGGATGGCGGAGGCAATTGTCAGATTATTCCCAGGAAGGGAACTGAGCGAGATGTGGTCGGCTCCAACATATTACTTGATCAGAGGACACAGAACATCGCCAAGATTCGATCCAGCGATTCCTTCAGCTGTTGCAAAGGTTGTAAGGACATTGTCAGAGACACAGAACAGAATTGTGATGCCTTACGTTGATATAAAGAACGCAACAACTGTGGAACAGATTTACGAAGCAACACAGAAGAATATCGCAGTATCTTCAAAATGGACAATTCCAGAATGCGCTGGAATTTCAGAAAACAGAAGAGAAATATACGCACCAACAATTATCCTTCAAAATTTGGGAGTTTTGGGTTATAATTTCGCCGTTAAAGCACCAACAAGTTTGCCAAGTTATTCATTGGCAACAGACGCTATAAATAGTCTGTTTAGGGCAGTATCCGAAAGCCCAACAGCGATCACTGCTTTGAGTGCTTTAATAAGCGTAATTTGGGTAAGACACCCTTTAACCGCTTTTTCCCCAGAATTAGGTCACGTTTTGTTACATGCCTTCGCTATCTCAAAATTGAATGTGGAGTTGGCCGAATTCCATTTCGGATTTGCGGAAGATTTTATATTGCACATGATAGACCCAGATACAGCTAGACTTGAGAAAATGGTCAAGCAACATATACAAAATAACCAGATTGCGAAGTCTTTCAGTGAAGAATCAATTAACTATTGGACTGAGCCATACCCAAAGGTATATAGAGTATTAGCACTCCTGGATGTCACTAATGATGCATGATTTTAATTTCATTTTTGTTATTATATATTTTTTAAAACTCAGTATCATAAGCTTTGCTTTTGAATCACTGATAATGTGATAATATATGCAAAACTTAAGCTAATGAGTTTTATATTTGTTATGTTTTTATATAAAATATAGATTTTATGATTCTTATCCGATATTTATCAGCTATGAGCATGTATTTCATATCAAATATGCTTCATTTTAATTCATTATTGAGTTCCATAAGAATTTTTGATCAAATCATGATATTTTGTAATTTGAAAGTGCAAATCAGTTACATTCGAACCACATCTTCAAGAAACTATATTTAATGAAATAAATTTTTTTTTGTAAAATCGTTATTGCTTGAAGATGAATAAATCTCCTAAGAAGAGTCGATCAAAGAAGTCGACTGCAACTAAGAAGAGTAATGCTTCTAGTACTAAACCATTAGAACGCGAGTGCGGGACAAATTTGCCAAGTGTCACTTTTCAATAACCTTAAATTACGATTTTCTCATTTTTTAAAAAATAACCTTAAATTATATTTGAAGAAATTATGTCTATGATATATGTTTTATGCTAGAATCTTGGAGTTTTCATGCACTACGCAAGAGCTCCAAGGTTCCAAGAGTGAATGCTCAATAGCAATTATAGAGATGTACCTTTTCAAAATGACTTTTACTGATTAAATTTAATCAATAGAAGACATTTTGAAAAGGTACCTCTACAATTAGATATACAAGAGATTCAAAGCTTCATTTCAGATAGATTTGAAACTTTGAAACTCTTGGTAGATTTTGAGTGAATGCTAACAATCATCTTTGAGAAGGTTTTCTTAAAGAAAACCTTCTCAAAGAGGTTTCTCAGGAGCCCTGAGGCTCCCTTTCGTAATGATTGGGAGCCTTGGGACTCCTGAGACGAAGAATGGCTTCGCCGAATCTTTGATCAGCAGAGGCCAAATGAAAAGGCCTCTGCTGATGGATTCTCAGGAGCCCTGAGGCTCCCTTTCGTAATGATTGGGAGCCTTGGGGCTCCTGCAGCAGAGTATCGCTCCGCTCCATTAATTTTTTTTAAAAAAAGTGCCGTGTGGCAAATTTGTCCTGTTCCCATTAGAACGCAATGTTAAAAAAATAATTCAAGAACTTAAAAATCTTCAAGCAGAATCTCAAAAATATTCATTTAGTGAAAACAACGTACCAATTCTAACTGTTACCAATAGATATAATGAAGTAAATTCCAATTTTAAACAATTTCTTCATCTGAATTCCGAAAAATCAATCTACAATTCTATTACAGACTCTGAATACTTGATAAAAGAAGCTAATGATAACTTTTTAAATCTTACTTCACTCGTATATGACGAGGAAAGAAATAATGATTATTATACCAAAGATTTATTTACTTTAGAGAAAGATGTGTCAACATTACACAAAATTGAACCAATTTCAGCTCAAATCGAAACTAAAATTTCGAAGTTTGCATCAAAATCTGAATTAATTCCAATAAAAAACGCAGTTGATGATCTTAAAATAGCAGCACAGAAAGCAGCTGAAATAAAACTGCCAGAAAATACACAAGAAATCAAACCAAAATCAGTTCAGCGGGAAGATATTGCAAAATTAAAGATGAAAAAGCAAGAATTAGACAAATCAATAGAACAACAAAAAGGTAAAGTTAGTGAATATTATAAAATATACAATTATCACAATAAAAACGATATTTCAAATGAATTATTTACATTCAACACAGTTTTTCAAAATACGCAGAGAATAATACAAATATATACATTAGGAAAGGCCAGTATTGATGAATTCACTACAGGTATACGTCAAAATATTGAAGATATAAATGATTTTATGAATAATTACAGCAGATTCTTTGATAAGGTCAGAATATTAACACCAAAAGAAATAGATCAACTTATTGAAGAAGCAAAGTCGGCCATTGAAAAAATTCATCAATTTGTTGTTTTTTATTCTGATGATAAGAATAAATTTGCTTCAGCATTCAAAGTTAAGCAGCAATTCATGGAATTGGCTCAACTTGTTTCATTGATTGAGTCTAAAACGTATTCAATCAAGAATATGGTCTCATTTAACGATAATTTGACTGTTGAATCAGTTTCAACAAAATGTGATGAATATTTGAAAGCTGCAAAGACAGCAGTTTCATTCTCTCCTCAAATTCAATTAATTTCGAATAATTATGAAAAATTAATTTCAAATATGAAAGAATTGAAAGAGGATATGCAGGATGCCATTGAAAACATCGAACAGATAAGAAAAGAAAGCTCTTCTCAAGATTCCAATCAAAATATGGCAGGAAATATCGAATCTCGAATTAGACAAGTAGAAGATGGAATCGCTATTTGTAATGCATTACATAGAGCCCAAAATCAAGATTATTCTTCTGAATTAAAAGATATCAAAAATTTATTTTCTCAATTTGCAAAGAGAATTTCAGCTCCCAACGATGTTCCAACCGGTTTACTCAATAACATGATAAAACAAACAATGAAATCACAATTATCCGAGAAAATTGAAGAAACCGAGTTTGATTACGCGAAAATTCTTGCAGAACGCAGTTCAAAGAGCATTGGAAAGGCAGCTGTTGATAAATCCAAGGAAATTGCAGTCAATTTTGCAGCTCATACACCAGAAAAAATTGATTTTTCTAAATCAATGTTACAAACAGAACAAAACATTAAGAAACACATTGACAAATTGAACAAGCAATCTGCTAAACCAGAAAGTATTGATAAACTTGAGTCAAAGACTAAAGAACTTGATCAAAGATTATCATCTCAAATTTCGAAACTTCAAAAGCTAAATAATGTTGCAAAAGATGAATCAACATCTGTAACACAGAGTGATATCGATAGAGTTTGCACTGTAACATCAATCCTTCCTCAGATTGAAAATTCAATTTTACAATCTGCAACAATTCTATCACCATACTTATCATCAATTGAAAAGTATACAAATAAAGTTCAAGATCAGATCAAAACCGCTTTGAATGGACAAACTGTTAATTTTGATCAAATATCGCAATCCCAACTTGAAAAAGGAGATCCATTTACTAGAGAAACTGCTGAAAAGCAGTTAAACAAACTGATCAAAGCAGAAAGATCTAGAGGAAATACATCAGATCTTAACTTTCTTTCAAATTCAATTGAAAAAATTTCAAAATCTTTTGATAAATTTGAAGGTTTGCATGCAAAAGTTGACGAACTTCAGAGAATGCAAAAGGTGTTAAACAGAAAGGCTAATGAAACAACTACTAAATTACCAAAGTTCGCTCCAGAAGATGCATCAGCTAATGCAAAATCCATTCCAAATTTGGAATCAAAACTTAATTCTTTGAAAAAGAAATTGAATAAATAAAATCTTTTTGTTTGTTGTTTAAACATGAACCCTCTCACATTCTTCTTTAATATATAACTCATATCCTATTAACTCACTACATTGTTTCATTATATTCTACTATATTTATCATATTTTGTTATCCAACATCATTATATAGTGCGATTGTCCTAAAATATGATTTTACTCAGCCTATGCAAGATAAGAATGGTTTTATATTACTGCAATATATATATACAATCCAAAACTATTGCTATTTTCTGTAACATTGTTATAATCAACGTTCAATAGATCTAGCAAATAATTCTTTCAAAGTGAGAAAAAGTGACCGTTTATAAAAAAGATGACTCGAGTGTATTTAGAAAATCTAAGCGATAATGAACTAAATACATCTCAGAATGAATATATGAAGAGAATTAAGTCAGAAATAAAAGAAAGATCGAGAAAAATCGATGAATACGAAAAAGAAATTGAAAGATTGAAGGAAGAATCAAATAATAGGTCTTTAAATATAACAGATATGGAGAGTGTAATACGACATAATTCAACTACATTCGTTGACAATGCTGCTTCTTATTTAGATCAATCAATAAATACGCAAAATAACCTAGAGTTTCAAGAAGTTAACCATAAAATGAATAACATTACAAAAGATAGAGAATTAGAAACTATGCAGTTTAAACCAAAGCTTCTCGAGGATAAATTAGAAAAATTAAATAATTTTGTCAACGTTACATCTCAAAACATACAAGATATCCATGAAAAACGCGACGAAATTATCAAAATACTTAATGAATCCCAAATTAATAACCAATCAATTCATGATTCAATTGATGAAATTGATCAAAATCAGATGAATCAACAAGAGTCAGCAAAAAATCACTTAATACTATATAACAAAATGATAGGAGATCTTAAAACCAAAATAGAATCAGAAAATACCATTTTTCAAGATATAAAATCACAATATACAGTAGAATTAGGGAAATACACGCCAATACAAGTCGATACATTTGAAAAAGATGTATTGTTAAAGCGAGTCAGCGAGTTACAATCAAAAATTCAAAAACTTGAGGAAGAATCCAATCAAATCGCCAATAAAAAGGCAGTTTTACTTAAAATATCTAAGGAAAAAGAACAAGAACTTACGGAGCAGAAAAATGCTACTAACAAGCATAAGAAAAACGTTGATTCTCTAAATGTTCAAATTTTTCCTCCTTATGTTGTTAAATTATGCAAAAGGATTGGCAAAACAAAGAATTTAGTTGCACAGACAAAGAATGACATTGAAGTTGGGAAATTCGCTCAAAAAGACATTGCAATTGAATTATCTCGACTGAAAAAATACTTGAAGAGTGTTGAAAGGAAAATAGGAAGAGAGGCAGAGAATTTCTTGAATATTGCAATGGAAATTAACAAATCAGACTCATCTTTGATCATTCAAAATGCAAATGAAGAAAATTCCAAGCAAAACCATCAAAAAGATGCAAAAGAGTTTGATAGAATTGCAAAAAGAAAGATGTACTTAGAATCAGAATGGGAAGATCTTTTTAATCATAAATATGCAGAATATAAACTTAAAAATCCAAAAACATTTCCTAATAATGACATAATGAAATATGTAAGTCAAATGATAGAAGAAGAAAGATGTCAAACAAGTAGAATCAATATAAAAATTCGAGATCTTGAATATTATATCTCGATTTTGAAGAAAAATATAAATGATTTGCATAAAAATATTATAGAACTACGCGTTGAAAGTGATATGCTGGCCCATTCTCCAAAAATGGCTCATCAAATGTCAATTAAAGAATTAGAATCAAAAATTGACCATTTAAAGCATTCAATTGAACAGAAAAGGGCCAAAATATCAGAAAGAGACGATAAACTTACCAGAGTTGAAAAGGCTAACAACATTTATTCACATCACACTCCTTTCATTTTTATTGACATTGAACGTGTCTGCGATCGCAAGAATTTGCGCTACATGCGAATAACAGATTGCATTTTACATGAACAAAAGGCAGAAAGCTACGTCAAAACTCTTGAAAATTTCCTTAAGTATTTAAGTTTCAATTCTGCTTCAAGAGATCTTGAAAATTACTCAAATCAGCTCACCCAATGGTTGTCTAATTTACAGAACTCCTTATAATTATATGTTTGTTTGTAAAATATGATATTATAATTTAAATTTAGCTTTTTACAAGGAATGGTACAACAAATAGCAACTCCAATTGAACTCCAAGCAATTTAATGATGTGCCATTGTTATTGCCAGTGACAGAAATTCACTCGATATTTTGAGGGCAACAAAAGCTATTTTGATTTTTCTATCGAAGTTGGAATAATGATATATTTCTCATAATGTTGCATGCTAAGATCAGTCATAATGTAAACCTCTCAATTTTATTGTCGTGGGAAGTATCTCAATTCCTTCAAAAAAATTGAAAAACTATTTAATTTTAAAAATATAATACTTTTAATTAGTTAATTAATTGGAGATATTTTAAAAAATCACTTTTGATAATACTTTGAGAACTTTAATTAAAAAAATATATTCAAAAAATATCCAGGATATCAAGAGGAATTGTTCCTTATGAGGTATATAGTTATGATGTATACCTCATAAGCAACTCCTCCTTAAAATGAGAAAACTTGTTCGAAATTGTTTATCATTTCGAACAAGTTTTCTCGTTTTTAATAACAACTAAAGGCTATGAGGCACTGATTATATATTAGTGCTTCACAGCCTTTAGTTTCTAATAGATAGCTGGGAAACTTTCTCCAAATGATAAGTTATTCAGAGAAAGTTTCCCAGCTATCAAGAGGAATTGTTCCTTATGAGGTATATAGTTATGATGTATACCTCATAAGGAACAATTCCCTCCTTAAAATCGTAGACATTTTATACTTATTAATCAACCATTCAAAATCATATTCCTCTGAAAAGTTATTTTATTAAAAATTTAGAATTTTTAATAAATATAGAGTTTGAATTTCATACAATACCTATATATTTTCAATAATGGAATTTGAAAACCATTCTCAAAAAGTTCTCAGAAAACCTTTTTTTCATTAATTTTAAGAAATCTGAGTATTAAATTAAGTGATAAATTCGTTTTGACACTAACTTTTAATTTTTAAATTCAAAAAATTATATGTGCTTTCTTAAAATGACTCAAAAAATTTATTATAAAATAATATATAATATTAAAAATCCCACAACATTTTTTTACTTTACATAATCGTACTTCCTCGACGATTAATTTCCACTCAATTTCTATTGTTGACCGAACTTAGCATGCAACAATAATGTTATGATATTTATAGTCAGGATAGATATCCTGAATTTGTTGGGAAAAAAATCGAACAATAAGCGTCAAAAATAAAATTATTAGGTTTAAAATATATACATTCATTAATGTGTTCATAATGAAAAATTGAAATGCTATTTTGCGTTAAATTTTGGAGAGAGGGTCAAAGTTGCTATTTGTCACTTTTCCACAAGAATATAATGGGGAAAAAGTTATCATATAGTTGATCTCATTCACTGAGGTGAGAGATGCATGTAGTGTAATATGTAATGGGATAAACAGTGGGATTGCTGCTCTAAGCCCTAGGTTCGAGACAGATTGGCTTCATTTTTCTCTTTTTATTGACGTAAACTATTCAATTTTTGTGTTCTCCATTCAAATTCCAGAATTTTTTTTTGCAGATTTCACGCTACATTCGAAGTTACCTTTTGTAACAACCACCACTGCCTACGAAAGACGAAAGTGTGTCACGATTTCACCCGGAAATCCGACGGTTGTTTAAGAGTAAGCACTTTTGGCACCTACTCGTTAAATTTTGTAATCATTTGATGATTATCGGATGGAAATTGTATTCATAAGGAAATTTGTAACCAACATTCTTTATCATATCCAATACATTCATATAATATATTTAAAAATGCACAAATGCCAATTTCCTGATTCTGACCATCTTGAAATTGTCGTTTATTATGCAGCCATGCCATAAGACTATCCGAAATAGATAGTTTAGCTGTAATATAGTTCAAATACGGCTTTTTAAGTAACGAACGTATTATTTTGCCCTGGAAAAATTAAGATTTAGAGTTATTTCCGCAAATTCGATCGTAAAAATAAACAATTAGTAAGGGTTTCGTTTTGCTAAAATTGTCACTTTTATAGCATATTTGTTTTTGGATGTTTTGCGAAACCAAAAAAAAAACTATGATATACAATGTGTGTGTAAAGAAAATACTTTATTTACTAGTTAAAAAATCATTTGGTATTGATCAAGTTTTTTTTTCTGGATAAGATATTATATGGATAATTGATAGAAAATACAATTATATAATCTTGTACCTGGTTTAATTAAGCTAATTGTCATCAGAAACTTGTAATTTTTGTGAATTTCAGATTTTCTTTTCATTACTGCTTTTCTTAATAGGTCAAGTTCTTATTTACGTTATAAAGTATGATATTTACAAATATCAAGTTCATGTTTTTGAGAAATTATAAGAAACAAACAAAAATGAAAAAGATAGGAATAGCAATGAATAGTGATATGGGTATAGAAAATGTAAGAGATATGAATGCAAAGCAATCAGTATTTAGGATATTGACCATAGATTTCGAAAAAAAAATGCTGCATATTGAGCGAAAACTATGATTATATTATAAGGCTGTCATTTAAAGCATAATGAAACTATTCCCTTTTCATTTTAATCGAATAAGATAGTAAAGATTTTTGAATTAGCTAGAAACTGATGAGATGTTTTCACAAATCAGATTTTTAATCTCTATAATGCATAATTCACTCAATATCTCAATTTTGATATTGCGAGATATTTTTGCTATCGGTTCGCAATTTTGACACAATAGCAAGAGGGTTCTATAAGCATTATTAATCAACCGTAGAATCTGAATATCATATCAGAAAATGTCGCAAATCTGACATTTACCCGACAAAATAGCAAAAATAATTGAATACTTTTCGCAAAAACTTTAAAAATCGATAAAATATGAAATATAGATATTAAAGAGACTTTTTATAATATTCATAAAGATTTTCCAAAAATATGATACCGCAAATTAAAAAAGTGACGTCTTGAGTGGAGTCAAAGGTCGAAATTGCTAGCTAAATGTTTTTTTAGCGAAATTGCGTATTGTACGTTTTTTCGCAAAACGAAACCCTTACAATTAGGAACCAATCCAGATAGGGAATTCAAAAACAATAATATTTCCGGTTTGCAATATTTTGATAGGAACGATTTCCAATTGACATTTTTCACACGGGCGCCAAAATTTATTTGGTCGGCTTCAATAAACCATACTCACCGTCAACAATTATTAAATGCTCAATATAAGAGGAACTGCCATTTTCATCAAAATATAAAATAAAAAGTATCATAAATTAACTAAAAACCGTGCATGTTATCAAAATTTTCTGAGTACCAGATTCTGAACTAAATGAGTTCCCCAATGTCTGGCCTTGAGGTTATGATCGAACTCGGACTTAGCTATGCCGAATCCTGCGTCGGCGACATACCAGATGATGTACAAAAGAAATTAAAGACTGCTTTCAAGGAATATATAACTGAAAAGATATCTTTCCAAGCTTGCTGCATGAAAATTGTGGGTCTTATTGGTAAGGATGATCCAGTCGTACGTCTTAGAGACATATTAGAGCTCCCAGAGGAACCGTTACCCTACCATGAAGATGCTGATGACGACGATTCAGCTTCTGGAAGCTCTCGCAAGAAGACCAGAACCTGGTCTATTGCTGAAGATCAAAGATTACTCGCCGGCGTATTCCATTACGGTCTAGAGAACTGGCAAGCTGTTGCACAATTCCTTGGAAGCGGAAGGAATCGTGCACAATGCTCACAACGTTGGACAAGAGGTCTTAACCCCAGAATTTCTAAGAAGAGCTGGACCCCAGAAGAAGACAAGCAGTTAGAGTCGTTGGTTAGGATCCATGGCGAGAAGTCATGGACCAAGATTGCCTCAATTATGAGTAACAGGAGTGATGTTCAGTGCAGATATCACTACAGGCAACTTGTTGCTCAAAGAGAACAGCCAATGACCCTCTCCAGAAAATCCAAGCTTACAATGTCCTCTGATAACTTTGCAATTAATAATGACATTACTCCACGCTCACAAATTGTGCCAAATCAGAATTCCGACGATGAAGCTCCAATCACCCTCAGCTCCACAAGAATGACAGGTTCCATGCCTCTCTTCAACCTTAACAATATGGCAGCACAACAAACGTTCCACCTACAGCCAATTCCGATTGCTCCACGTATTTCTCATATTTACTCAGAATCTCCAGGCCCATTAGCATCATCAAGTATGAGATGGGGACAGACTGGTGTTGGTCAAAATGATCTCGATACATTCTTGAAGCATTTCCAGTAATCGAATTTCTATTGGCTTGTTCTTTAATTGAAGCTTTAATTTATAGAATTCACCTGTTAAATCTATTCATGTTTAAATGGTAATAGTTTTTTTATACTTCTGCGGCTATAATCTTTAGAACGAAAAATTGTGTGGAAAATGATCGGAAAACAATAAAATTTACAGTTATTTTATTTTTATAGCAGATCGGATAAAATAATCTGATTTTTATATTGAGTTTAATATTCGTGCCAAAATGATTTATTTTCTTATAGAAATTTGATTGAGCGGAAAAACTTTTCTTTCAATTTTTTTTTCATACAGTTCTGCCATCATCCTCAAGGAGATAAATTTTATTTAGTCAGCTTGGAAAATTCCCTATTTCCTTCCAAAATTAGAATTGTTTCGCAGAGATTTTTTTAGAAATTTTTTAGAATGAGCCATAATGCAGCTGCATACAAAATATTTTCAACCCCATGATACATCAAGTACGGATTTATATCGAATTAGTTAATTTTGAGATATTTATCTTTCAACTAATTACAAATCTGAATATATATCAATGAAATTTTAGAATTAAGCTTTCCATAACTAAACTCGTATTTGTGTTCTTATATACATCAAAATATAAATCGATCGTAATAAAAAAAAATAAGACTATCGCAATAAATGAATTCTTTAACTTCGCATAGATGGACCCTGCGTACACGATTTAAAATCCAAATGTAATCTGTTTAACTCGTGTCCAAATCGCATTCTTCAAAAATTAACGTATATGTTTGGGAAATTTTTATATATTTTATCCTAGAAATGATAATACAATCATTAAATTCCGTCAGAAGTCAATTTTGAAGGAATTTTCATTTTTCACAATCGATGAGAAGTGCTCGTTCAGGGAGCAATTCTCAAAGAGATTCAAAATATATTTATACATTTCCAACCAAAACAGATCCTGAAAGCATCGTGCGTGCAATACTTTCAGGTGTCGATATAATTTTTGTAGATCCACTTTTATTTCAATATATATTACCTCAAATCGAAAAAATGAAAAGTAAATACACTTACCTCAATGAAGAAGATCTTGTTAAGCAATTAGAATTTTTTGAAACTTATATTGAGAATTCAAGGCGTCAAACACCAGTAATAGAAACTCCGAAAAGTACTCAAAGAAGTGTCAAAGCAAAAAAGCATAACTTTACCGATGAAGAACTTGAAAATGAAATTGAAAATATTTTGGCTACTGATCATGTTGGAAAATACACTGCTGAGCAAGCAGCAGAGTTGATAGAAGGTATGAAACACCGTAGACAAATGTATATTGAGCAAACTAACTATTTAGCAGCAGATCGTGCTGAATTATACGTTCAAAAGCTTCTACAAATTACTCAATTGAATTCTGTCCGTGAAATACAACAGAAATCAGATGATAAGTCATCAATGCAGATAAAGAAGGCAGAAGCTGACCTTAAAGAAGCGAAACAAAAATGGGAAAAAGTTTACTCTGCTCTAAGGGATAGTGCAGCAAGAGAATTCCAAGAAATGGAAGAAAAACATAATAATGACCTCGCTGAACTTGAAGCTCTACGTGAACAGCCTCCTCCTCTTTCTATTGCAAAATATTCAAATTATCTTTTGGATCTAAGGCAAAGACAAGAATATTTAATTAAGATTAGGAACTTTTCAGATGCTGCTGTGTTGAAAGATCAAGCAGATATCCTTCAGGCTTCAGAAAATAGAGATTTTATTAAAAAATGGAACCAACAGATTGATCAGAGAATAGAACAATGCAATACAACTTATAAAAGGAATATTGCATCAAGGAGATTGTATTGGAAACGCGAAGAAACTCAATTAATCCAAGATGCTGAAAAAGAAGTCGCAAAAGCGGAAAAAGCAATAGAAATAATGAAGAATACACTTAGAAATGTTCGTATCCAAAAGAGAAGAACAACTTCTGAGCTAACTTCCACTCGACAGAATTTCATTCGTACTCCTGGAATTAACGAGCGTCAAACACCTCACCAGCACTTGCAGAAACAGATTCTCAACAAGAAACTCTATACAGCAACTCCAAGAAGATAAATTTTTTTAATATCAAACGATCCAATATCTAGTTTATTGCTGATTAACTAGTCATTGAATTTCTATTCCATTGCTTTATTACTATTTTAGAAAATGAATGTTTTATTGTTATTTTATTTTCATTTATTGTTATTATTGTTATTAATAAGGAAATATTGATTTGTTTTGTTTTTGTGTTTATTACAATCTATGAAATAAAGAAAAATTTTTGTTATTACTTTTATAAATAAATCTAAAAAAAAACTATTAAATAACATTTAATATATAAGTAACAAATAAACAAATAATAGAACTCAATTATAAGTTTCAATTCTTTTCTGGAATCTTGCATTTAATACATCTTCGTATTCTTCAGGAGGTTCAGGCAAAGGAATGTTTAAATCTTTGCACTGCTTTATCTGTTTGTCTATTTTCGTTGCAGTAGATCCGGCTCTCATCTTTATCACGTCAATTGCCTCTTTGATTTCATTTAATCTGACTTGTAACCAAAGTAATTCGTCATCACAAGTCAAAGTTATTGTACTGTTTGTAACTCCTTTCAAGCTGAAGAACTTCTGTTTCTGCTTATCAACTTGTTGTTGGAGCTTGTCTACTTTGTCTTTCAGTTGCTTTTCCATGTCAGAGTTGTATTTAGATTGTAAAGAAGATAAGCTTTCTTTCAAAGCATCACTTTCAATTCGAAGGAAGTCACTTCTTCTTATGCAATCTTTCATCTTTTGTCTTGCATTTCTCAAGTCATCACACATTGATTTGATATCAAGCTTAGGAGCAGCAACTTTCTCTCTGATCTCTTTTTGTATCGATTCATTAATTGTTTGTAAATCAACAACTTTTCTTTCGAGTTTTACTAAATCTATTTCTCTTTGTTTCAAGATTTTGTCGACACCTTCAAGTCTCTCCTTCCTTCTGTCGATTTTCTCTTTGTCGCTCATGTTCATCTTGATCTGTTTAAGGCGCTCCGGTTTCGTGTTGAACTCGTTAGCGTTGATATTCTTTAGTTTGGCCATGAGACCATTTAATTCATTTGTTTTTCTGTCGTTGGCCAATCTGATGACTGAAAGCTCGAGTTCGAGTTTTGCTGCGGTATCTCGCAAGTCAAGAGCTTGCTGTTGTTGAAGGAATGCTTCCGATGTCTTTTGGTTGTTCTCGGCAATCTGATTCTTCAAATCTTGGATGTCAACACTACTTTTTGCAGAAACTTCAACGTCAACAGTAGATTTTGGAACATCTGTTGGTTCTCGACTGTAGCTGGCAACATCATTTTGAATGGAAAGTCTGGAAACTCGTTCTTTGAACTCTTTTTCTCTTGTGTTTTTCAATTCTTCGTTAATTGATATGTTTTGATCGCATTCAAGTATGGATTGTTCGAGTGCTGATATCTCATTAAAGATCTTTTCATGCAAGAGAAGGTTCAAATGCTTTTGTTGGTTTTCAGTATTTCGATAATCTTGTAACGCGCTGTAATCTGTCATAATTTCTGTTGAATTATATTGTACTTCCTTGTCCTGATTATAACTAAGAAGTTTGTCTTCGGAAATGATGATTCCTTCAATGTTGGAATGGAATTTCTTTGGTGGTTTTTCGGGATTTTCATCATTTTCTTGGTTGTCCTGGTTACTGTGGTGTTTCTTTTTGATTTTCTTTGGCTTTTCCGCTTCATTTTCTTTAGATCCGTTTTCATTTTCATCTTTTCCTTCTTGTTTTGCATCAGATGTGTCTGCTCCGACTTTGTGTCTGTGTTTTGTACCTTTTGTCCCATCTTCGTTTTCTGAATAACTGTAATCATATTCATCTCCGTTTTCTTTGACAACATGGCGAGAGAATTTCTTTCCATTTGTATTTTCTCCATTTTCAGCTTCTTGATTTTCATCTTTTTCCTCGTTTTCTTTATTTAATTCAGAATCTTGTTTTTCTTGAGCTTCTTTATCCTTATTATCTGATAAATCTCCACCTAATTTGTGTCTGTGTTTTGTTCCTTTTGTCCCATCTTCATTCTCTGAATAACTATAATCGTATTCATCTCCATTTTCTTTAACTACGTGTCTTGAATACTTCTTTCCATTCTCAGTATTGGGTTGTAAGATTGATTCTCCTGGGAGTTTCTCACTGTTATCAATTTTAATGGTATCAATACTATCACCTCGAGCTAAAGAACGGAGTTTTTCGTCTTCGAAGTCAGATTCATCAAGAATATCGATTAAATCAAAATATTCGTTTGGATCCACATCGTTTGACTGGCGTCTTTGTGGGACATTCGTTAAATTTGATTCTGTATTTTCAAGTTCTTTGTAAAGTCGATTATTTTCTTTTAGTTTCTGTTGCAATGCTATGAGTAATGGTTGTAACTGTTTTCCATTTTCGCTATCGTATTGAATTGCTTGTGCTAAAGCAATTTCTCTGTCTCTCCGAAGTCTCGCGTTATCTTCCTTAAGTATTTTATATTGGTTATTCTGTTCATTGATCATCTTTTGGATTTCATCTGCATTTGGATTGTTTTTAAGCATTTCATATACTTGTTGTTCAATTTGATCTGTATCTTCTTTATAACGTTTTGAAGCCTTTTTCATAGCAATAATCGTTTGATTTGGTGTTTGATATACTACGTATTTCTTAAATGTTGCATTTTTAATTCTTAATTTTTCAAGTTTTGCTTGATTTTCTCGAATTTTATTATCATATTCCTTAATTGAAGCATTAGTTTTATCTAGTATTCCGCATCTTTCTTTATATGATTGTAATAAACGTTCGTTAGCTGAAGTTACGGAGGCAACAGCTGATTCTAAATGACTCTTGTACTTACTATATTCACGATTTTCATTGTCCAAAGATGAAAGCGACTCATGGAGGCCTTTTATCATCGCTTCATCCTCCGACATAATTTTTTGCTCAAGAAAAAAAAAAAATTTATTTTGAAAATATGTTAAATAGTTAAAATAAAATAGAAAAATTCGAATTTTAAAAATTTAAACCGAAAAAAATTCAATAATCAATCAAAATTTTGAAGGAAAAATAATCGTTAAAATTTAACGCGAAAATAAAAACCTGTTTATTTATCACGTATCAAGATGGAATTCGTGATTTGTAATTTACTCCAAATCAGGGCGATGAGCAACACCGAAGAATCCCTGTGCGCCATCTTCTTCGAAGTCGTTCTTGAATGGATCATCAGTATCACCCATGACAGAAGTAGTCCACAATGGGTTATCATTTGTGACTGGTGCAGATGTGCTATCAGGAACCTGCATGACAGTTTCTTCAGCCATTTCGACAGCTGATGAACTTGAATCGTCATCCTTCTTCTTGAGTAATATGAAAGCAATGAGACCAGCAATGAGAATGAGGAGAAGAATACCGCATCCGATACCGATGTACAAGTACATGTTGTTCTTCTTTGGTTGAGCATCAGTTTCGGCAGCCGAAAGTCCAATTTCACCAAGACCAATAACTGTGTCAATTGTGATAAGTGTATGATAAGTATATTTACCATCACTTGTAACAACAACCCATGAGGATCCATCCCAATATTCGTCACCAGATTTGAATTCACCAACGGTAGTTGATGTTGTAATGATGACAGAAGTTGTAGTTGTTGAGATGGTCTTTCCGGATCCAGGTGTTGTGATGATTTGTGGTGTTGGTGGAGTTGTACGTGCTGGAACATCTGTGGACTTAGGAGTGCTGTGTGGTGTACTGTGTGGTGTGCTGTGAGCTGTGCTGTGAGGAGTCTGGAACTTTGTTCTCATACCATCACCAGGAATTACTGTAATTCCTCCAGGGAAGTTATTTGGTGGTGTAAGGCCAGAGAAGACTGTTTCAAATCCAAAGCTTGTTTGAGTTCCGATATCGCGAATTGGAGTTGGGAAGTGGCTGTTTGTTGTTGCTCTTGGTAATCTTGTGATTGGAGTAGCAACATATGTATATTCAGTTGGGGACACCACAATAACTACATTTGGAGTATCAGCTTCATTACTAGGAGATGGTCCTGTAATTACTGTTTCTGTTGGAGTTGTTAGAGTTGGTGGATCATATCCATCAAGTCCATCAAATTTACAGATTTCATTTTCAGTTTCAATGGTAGAACCATTGAAATCAAGGACCTGGAAACTAGTTGCATTTGAAAGAAGCTCGCTGTTTCTGACCATGGAAACATGATTATTTGATATTCCAAATTCAAAATTTTGTGGGTCTACATCATTCATTATATCTTGGTAAGATTTCCATATGCAATAACCCTCAAGGAGAATTTCATGTCCGGATCCGTCACCAAATGATGTACCTGTAGTAGTAGCAGTATCTTTGCTAAAGCAGCATCTCTGTGATTCAACAACACGGCGTTGGTAAGTTGGTTCATCTGTTGGAAGGCGTCCTTTCTTTGAATCAGATACAAAACTAATTGCACCGCCACCACGACCCTTTTCGTGTGTAGGGAAAGATGATTCGTTGAAATTTGAATTTCCATCAAATCTGTGTTTGAGTGTATAACTCATGGTAGATGCATCTTTAGCATTTACAATGTTTTGGATGAAGGCGCATTTAATGAGTTTAAGCGAGTCACAGTTTGCAGATGATATAGCGCCACCGCTAAAACTACACCAGTTCTGTACAAATTTGCAATCTTCTAAGTATACCTCAAGGCCAAATGAAATTGCGAGACCACCTCCCATTTGAGAACCAATGTTCCGTAGGAATATAAGTTTACTGGCAATGAAAGTAACTGAAGGGGAAAGATAATTATAGTTATCAGTTTTCATGAAAGCGCCTTGGAAGTAGATGCCACCACCAAATTTGAAAGCATGGTTTTCTTTGAACATTATGTTATCCATTAAAATAGCAGAGGAAACGGAGCAGATACCTCCACCAACTGCAGCTTTGTTTCCCAAGAATTGTATTTGATGTTCATCTTGTGCTGATAATACACATTGGCAAATGTGGAGAGCACCTCCTGAGCCAGATGTTCTTCCGGAACCAAACGCATAGTTTTTTTCGAAAGTTGTTGTACCAGATATAACGATTGAGCATTTGAAGAATGTATATTCTCTGTGCGTAGTAGTTTTTCCTGTGTTTATAGAAATATCTCTGTTAAAATGTTCTGCGAATTCCGTAGTATTTTGTTGAGTCTTTTTAACGAATTGGGGTGTATCTTCAAGCTGTAGAATTTCTTCAAAAAGCTTGTCTTTATCGAGAATTGGTTTTTGATAAGTTAAGGGTGCACACGAGAGGATCATGTAAACTTCAGAATTTAGAACCTTATTTTTAGGCATTATCTTGGCTACCTATTTAGGCTCGAAAAGCAAAAAATATCAAAAAATACAACTTGACTCCATTATGACCCTTTCATGGAGGTAGTTTTTATCCGCTAGTATTTTCCCTTTGAATCTCTTTACAATTCGAAATCAAATTCAAAACTCAGTAGAAGAAAGGAAGAATCGACTTACTACGGTTGTAATACGAATAAATACATATATTTAATTATTTTTATTTACATAATAATTGTTTGAAGCTCATATTCCAACAAATTTTTAAATAAAAACATTAAAATGTTGAAAATGTTCATATATTTTAATAGGGTTTTGGCACTTTATTGAGGAATTACTACATACATAGTCGAACTGAACTTGATATTTTGAAATTTAAATTATTTATCAAAATTAAAATTTAACTTGAAATTTATAATTATTTAGTCATATGTTGCATAATTCTAAGTAGATTTTGTAAAAAATCAAGAAAGAAAAATTTTAACGTGCTTTATTTTTTCTTTTTTATAATAATACATATTATTATATAATTAACATATTCATAATGTTTCACCCTTTCAAAAATATAATCCTCCTCCTCTCAAATAAACGTACATACGGGTGGCCTCTTTTTTCAAAAAAAAAATTTGAAATTTTGGGCTCAAATATTAGAGATTTTTTCAACCTTCAACGATATATATTGTCTATATCAGACCTCCTTTCTTTTTGATACTTAACATTGTTCCTAAATCTTAGCCGTTAAGGCTGTTCTGAAAATATTTTTTTTTCGAAAAAATTCGAAAAAAATTCTTAAAATTTAAAATAGGGATGCGACGGTTTTACGCCATGACCGTTTAAAAATAGAATAATACGCCATTTTTGGGGCCGAATGGCGGGTACTTCGTACCCGCCATTCGGCCGAATAACAAAACAATACAAAATTATCGCCGTCCTTTTTTTTTCTTTCTTTCTTTCTCTTTTTTTTTCTCTCTCTCTTTCTTTTCTCTTTCCTCTTTTTACTCCTCTTTCTCTTTTCATCATTAAACGTAGAAAGATATATTAATATTATTTTAAAATTAAAAAAAAAATAAAGAAAGTATAATAAGTAATTATTTAGTTATCAATATATATATATATGTAAAGTGATAATCTGAGGATAATCTGAGGAGGAGTCTGAGGATTAGACCGAGGAGTAGTTTGAGGAGTTTGATGATAATCTGAGGAGTTTGAGGATAATCTGAGGAGGAGTCTGAGGATAATCTGAGGAGGAGTTTGAGGATAATCTGAGGAGGAGTCTGAGGATAATCTGAGGAGGAGTCTGAGGATAATCTGAGGAGGAGTCTGAGGATTAGACCGAGGAGTAGTCTGAGGATTAGACCGAGGAGTAGTTTGAGGATAATCTGAGGAGGAGTCTGAGGATTAGACTGAGGAGTTTGAGGAGTAGTCTGAGGATAATCTGAGGAGTTTGAGGATAATCTGAGCATAATCTGAGGAGGAGTCTGAGGATTAGACCGAGGAGTAGTTTGAGGATAATCTGAGGAGGAGTCTGAGGATTAGACTGAGGAGTAGTTTGAGGATAATCTGAGGAGTAGTCTGAGGACTAGCCTCAGGACTAGTCTGATGAGGAGGACTTTAAGGAGTAGTCTGAAGAGTAGTCTCAGGAGGAAGATCTGAGGAGTAGTCTGATGAGGAGGGGTCTAAGGAGTAGTCTGAGGATGATGAGTAATCTGATAAGGAGTAGTCTGAGGATGATCTGAGGATAACCTGATGACTAGTCTAGGAGTGGTCTAATAAAAATGTAAAATATTTTCAAAGAAAAAATTCTATGAATTTTATATTTTAATTCTTAGCATTATACTGAATAAAATAAACATAAATATCAAAATTTGAAATTGAATACGCCAAAAAATTGATAATCCACATTCAATATTTTGTAAGTGGCGTACTTTTTGAATACTCGCCATACGCCTTGGAGTTCTCAATTTTGAATTCGCCTTTATTTGGGCGACCTCAGAAAAATACGCCATTAAGAAAATATTGTATGAGATTTTAAATTTGAACACGCTCTACCTTAAGGAATTAAATTTATTAAGATATATTTATATATAATAAACGATTACTTAAAAAAAGTATTTCATCGCTTATGTAAGTTTCAAAAAAATCACGAAAATAAAAAAATCAAGATTAAAATTTTATTTTTAATTTTTGAATTTCTCAAATGGCGAAATTTTTGGGCGAACAAAAAAAATGTACGCCCGGTCAAATGGCGTGTTTAACGCATCCCTAATTCAAAAATCCCTTAAGGGTATAGTCCACTAAAAATTTTTAAGTTTTGACAATGAAAATAAGCTCTGTGACCATGTAAATATATATCTATGCAAAACGAGAGGTTATGCCATAATTTTTTTTTAGTTATCAAATTTTCCTTTTTTTGAGAGAAGTCTCTCAATAATTTGAGAAGAATCTTTGATATAAAGAGATACACATTTGTAGAACGAAGTAAGTGTTTTCCAAACATTTTATATGTTCATCCTGTATAACAATATAAAGCTGCATAGTGCCATCTTGTGCGTTTGCTATTTTATGTACTTTTCATTGAGATAATCCCTCTTCTCGGGTGAATTTCACAGTCAACTCAATTTTAAAATAAAGATTTCATCAAAATGATTTCGAAATTCGGATATTGATTATATAAATAGCACTGTTAACATATTTTGGATGAGTAAAAAATACCTTGTTTTGTATGCATTTAGTACACCTTTATTTTTGATTAAAACTATAAAATTTTTATTCCTTATATAATAAATAGTATATGTTACATAAACATGAAATTCAATAGCATTCAATTTTGGATTTTTTAGATTTGGTAAATTTTAGAAGAAATAAAATCAGCAATCAAAATAAAGAAACTTTTTTTGTATCTTCTATGATTACCTTTTGGTACTAAATTTTGCATTAATAAGTAAATTATCTGTATTATTCTGTGAGCACAAGCCCTCAGTTATGCTGGTAGTGAATGATGAATCGTCATTTTGCGAAGAGAACGCGATTATTAAGGTAATTTTGAGAATTGTCTTGAATTATTTAAAATTAAAGTTAATTGAATAGGTAGGATAACTAGCCTTTGCTAAATTTGTATAATTTGACCTTATTCTAGTTGGATCTGAGAATATTTTGCTGAAATAATAAATTATATCGCCGATTTATGAAAATTTCTCTGATGGGACCGACTCGCTGAAACGTATTAGTGTTAATGGTAACTTGTCTGAATTTTCAAATTTTTTTCGAAATCCAAAAAATCACAAACAAAAGCATCAAAATTAGATTTGCATTTAAGGTTTTCATTTTTTTTGGAAAATAAAAATATTTTTCCCCAATAAAGTTTATTTTTACTTTTGAGAGGAATAGAAACGTTATTTTGGAATTTTGAAACAACAGAAATGTTCCATTTTTAATGTAGATTCTAAAATGGGGTCAAATTTTTGATTGAACCGTTATCCATTGAAAAACCTCGATTTTAAAATGTTATTCCAAAATATTCATCTAATGATATAGTATATATTTATTAATTATTACTTTTTATTCAATTTTCACTTTTGGCGGGATTTCATTTTTTTGTTGTTGTATGGGCCATATTGTTCACCCAAAACGGAAAACAAAGGCAATGCATAACATTTTACTCCACGAACGTCGTCGACTCTCAGCGCGACAGATGCTTGGTGCTTGCATAATGACCGGAATGCCATATACAAAAGGTGCTCGCTTTCTTTCTCTTTGTGGAACTAAGCCCCCTGTGAAGAGTGGTGTCATGAGACAACAGAGATTTTGTGACGATAAGATTAGAAGACTTAAAAGTATTTCCCTAATGCTGTCGAGAAAGTCCTTCAGTGGTTACTTATCCATTGATGCAAGATGGACGCACAGGCGAAACTCGCCAAGTTGTACAGTAACTGCGCTCGATGCTGTCACAAAAAGAGTTCTTGCATGCGTGAACATCAACCATATTGGTGGAAACAGACAGCATGCTCAGTATTCCGGAGCTTCCAACAATATGGAAAGTGCTGGAACTCGAATCATCTTGAAGCAATTAAAGAAATACAATATCTTGAAAGATGTTAAAGAGATTATTAAAGACCGAGATAACAAAAGTGTCTCTGTCTTTAAAGAATTTGGCGTCTCTCATCTTGAAAGATTCGATCCAGGTCATGTATCAAAAAATATCTCAAAAGATTTTACAAAGTTCTCAGCTTCTCATAAGACAGTTGAAGTTTTCAACGACAAGACTCAGAAGATTGAAAAAATAGAGAGACCTTTCTGGGGTCTGAATGCAAGCCTAAGTATGTGGCTTTGGTCATGTTTTGCCGAAGAAAATATTGACAAACGTACGAAAATGTGGGAGAATTGTGTCTACCATTACGTAGGCAATCATTCTTTTTGCGAACCGCACAATTACAAATGCTTTGAATGGCAAAAAGGTGTCAATTCGATCCAACTTCAATTCATGCTCTATGACTGGGTTCACAAATGGACACCCATAGTTTCCAAAGTTTCTTCCATTGGATCTACCTGCATGAATGAAGCGTTTAACTCCAAAATTGCATGCTATTTGGACAAATCAAGAGCCTGGAAGAACATTAACATTAGAGTTAACGTTGCAATCTTAGAATGGAATGATCCAGAGCATTTTCTCGGAGATATACAAAAAGCATTACATCTTCCCCACTTCCAGAAGATTGTGTCAAATCATTTGAAGAGAATTGTTACTCCAAAATGATATTGAAACAAAAAACTGTTACAAAAGGTTCTAAAAAACAGAACAAATACAAAAAATCCATTCAGAGTGTACCAGGAGGAGATTATCAAGTTTTCAAGTCCGAATGGGAATCAGAAGACGAAGACATTGATGACTTTGATTAACGAAAATTACATTTTATTTATTGTTTTTGTTTTTAATTAAATTATTATTATGCTCATTTTCTTATTTTGATTTTTTCTCATTATGATATAAATAATTTATTAATGCATTTATCCAATAATTATGCTATGATATTTTTATGCCTTATTTCATTTCTCTTATATTTGATAATCTGGTAAAATATAGTTCAGACTATAATCATTTTAGATTATTGATATATTTATATAGGTTAGAATAAAATTAGTTTCATTTTCTACTTTTATTTTGAATTAATAATTTATAATATCAAATATTATGGCGTAACCTCTCCTTTAAAATATAGATATATATAGGCCTATAGAGTTTATTGGCACTCTCAAAACTCTAGAATTTTGAGTTTACTATACCCTTAATTCCTGAGGATTTTGGAAAAAAGTTTTTACATAAACATGTGTATATTATATGAAGTATATTGATAAGGTAAAAATCAAATTTTATTGCATATTCATCGAGAAAATAAACTAACGAATCCCTCAAAATTGAGAGGGTAATCCTCCTCTCAAATAAACGTACATACGGGTGCACCCTTAAAAAAGTAACAAAGATAACATTTTGTCACTTTTATAAATTAACAAATGTAAAATAATTCATTCAAGTAGATTTAGCTATATTGTTTAACTTAATTATTTTAAACTTAATCTAAAAAAGCAGATCAATCAGAAAAATAATTTGATTGAATTGAGATGGTTGATATCAAAATTTAACATAATATGATTTAAATTGATTGATGAAATAATATTTTTCAAACCAATGAAAATTGTGTCAAATATTTTGAAAGAACACTTAAAGATCATTTATTAACATAATTTTATATACAATAAGTTTTTCCTTCTTGACAAATTTAGCCAAAAAGTTTTCTCACAAAACTAATTGTTTCAAATTTAGAAAATGATATAATCAGATTAATTAATATTAAAGAAGCAATTGTATACATTTTCAATGAAACAATTCTGTTTCTGTATTCAATTGGGTGGAGAAAAATGTATTAATCATTTTCGATTTAAATATAGCATCTTGAGACGTTTAAATTCCATTTTTTGGTTTATCTCATAAATTTCCAACCATGTAAATCGTCAAAAATGAAGAGAAGAACCTTCGAAATCAGGCACAGGCAATCCAACCTAATGCATATATTGTTGGCTAAATATTGTTTCAAATAGAATGATTTTTCGAATAATAAAAAAAATTCACGATTTTTCTTTTTGCATATATTGGATTATATTAACAAATTGAAGTGTAGTATTATGGCTAACCGAAAATCGATTAAAAATCAATTTTTAAGGGTCCACTGTAAAAATTGAAAGTCTCTCAAAATTGAGAGGCGATTTGCAAATAATCGTTATCGTCTTTTTTCGAAAATCCACTTTTCCTAGTGTTCTGATTAATATTTTGTGAATGGAATAATGAAGTATATGTTTTTGTAAGATGGTAATATATTCTATCACTTCAAATCGGATAAAAATTGCAAAATCGGCGAGTTTTATAAGAACATGATTTTTTCGAATTTTTTCGCTTTTGGATGCGTGTTTTGAAAAATAGATATTTTCGAATTTTGATTTTATCTTAAGTATAAGTTTTATATTAGGAATTTTTTTGACCTATTTCCAATCATTAATTCCGGTGTTTTTTTAGGAATTTATTTGAGAAGAAATTAGGAATTTCGCTTTTATGCTATTACAAACTAATATTATGATGCATGTAGTTTATATTCATTGAGGCCAATGCCGGGATATCTTGCATTTAAAAAAAATTCAAAGAATTGACAATTAGATAGCACAAATTTAATTCTCTAGACAAAGTATTATTGCTTATATATTCAAAACATTATCCTTAGTTTTGATATGTTGGCCAAAAATTTTCGTGTTATTTTTTGTGTTTAAGCATAAATTATGTATTTACTTATGAAGGATAAGCATTTTATTCATTGTCATAAATATGCACCATAACAAATTGATAAAATTTTAAAAAATTGTGTATTTTAGCGGGTATTATTTTGGCCAATGCCCGTTGTTACAAGATTTAATATTAACCATATCAATAGCAGACTCAATGTAAAAATTTAGATATATTTTTTTTTTCATTATTCAAACTTTGATAAATTTTAGTATAATGAATGATTTTGTTTCGTGTATGATACAGAAATGAAAAGCTTAATTAATACTATTTTGCATTTTTTCAAGAATGTTAGAGTATATCTACATTAAAAAATCAGATTTGAACTGCGATACTGCATCAAATTGATGCATATCTGATAAGGATCTCAAAAGAGTAAAGTTAATTTTTTTGAGTTTTTTTAAGTTTTGGGCCTTAGTAAAACACCATCTCGAGCAATATTTTTGGGACGACGATAGGTCTTATTTGGCCTTACAGTGGACCCTTAAATTCTGCTTTTGATAATCTGTTGAAGAATGCAGTATTAAGTTCACAATTAGGTTCACCCATGATATATTATACGAATTTTCTTGCAAAAAGATATATGGTAGCAAAAAAACGATAACTCTTTACAATGAGAAAGTATTGAATGTAAAAAAAAACAAAGAATTTATGAATGAAGTTGAAATTACATCATCAAGCAGCCTTACTTTTCGGGATTCGCTAGGAACAAATACTCTACAAAGGTGTGCTTCGTCATTACTCACATATTCCAAATCAAGAATTGGAATGAACGTTTTAATTTTTGTTCATACTTTCTTTTCTCCTCTTCAACTTCTTGCATCATCGTTTATTCTTCCATATTTTAATACATTGGATTCTGCGGATTATTCAAGCGAAATCAGGAAATTCTTCTGTTTCTTTGTAAGAATTCTTGATTATGATACAACTTTTGAAAAGATAATGCTATGTCAAAGGATTGTATTTTTCGTTATCATTATACTATTCATCGGAAACGTATCAGTTTACTTTTCTTTATACTATTTTAAAAGAAGATTATTCAGTATTTCAAATCTCGGATTCTGTTGCATGCATTTTATATGCAGATTCTTCTTACCATGGTCAGCATCCCTATTTACAATATCCATTTTCGATTTGTTTCGAAAACAAGACTTTACATCTTTTATAATTTCATTAATTGCCTTCATCATTGATTTGTTTTTTGTTTTGTATGGGAATTCTACACTCACATGTGCCCCAACCTTTTATCCTGGTGTCGGAGCACGCTGGGTCGAAAATAATCTCGGTGATATATTGACAACAGCCATTTTCATTATAATAGAAGCAGAACATAACTTCAGTTACAATAAGATCACAGATACAGTACTTTCATGTATTGTTGTCGGACTATTTATCATTATTTTCTCTTCATATTGTAATGGATTAGTTTTCACATACATGCAAGTTAATGCATTCATATGGGCTATATCGTTTATCACTATCGTTAACTATATTTGGGATATTTTGTTCACAGCAGGCGTTGTTTCTTCATTTTCTTCATTTCAAATCACAATGATCGTTATTTACCCTGTTTACAAACTTTCTTACATCATAGCTTTGCATGTAAATAACAGAATTTTGGTCAAAATCATGGAAGCCGAAGAACAAGGATTTGCTTTCTTAGATATCCATTGTCCAACGAAATGGGTTAACTACTGCTGCATAGGATTCGAATTGTCCAACTATAATTTGGCAATGATTAAGTTTGGAATGGATAAATTCCAAAATGATACAATAACAGCGAGAACTTACCTCAGATTCGCTATGTTGTACCCCAACCTGCAAACAGCAGAGTTAAGCTATGGTTTGGGAGAACTTGAGAAGAGAGCGAAAGGAAATATTTTTGATTTAATTATTTTATCGACTTTTAAGATGGAAATAGCAAAAAGAGATGACGGAACAAATTATACAAAGGCTAGGTATATCGATATCACCAAATCATTTGTTTCTTCGTTCTTATCTTACACTGTTCAATTTTGGAAGGAAATTAACGCTTCCAGATCCAATCGTGCAATTTCTTTGGCCATGGAAACTCATGAAAGATACAAAGCAGCTATTAATATGATAAAAGAACTGAAAATATCCGGGTCTTATATTCAATTTCTCAGAACAAGTTTGCCTCTTCCATTTTTCGGAGCTCCTCTTTATGTTGATGACCAAATCACCTCCGATTCCCGTAAAATGTTCCATATGCCGTCAAATACAACAGAATCGACAGAATCTAATGAGCTTCAGAAGCAACCGTACTATCTAACAGGTAAGACTGTTCATGAAACTCTTGCCAAGAGGTTTCTTATCCTTCAAAAACTTGTTTTGATAATTCCATATATATCATCTCTTTTAATTATTGTTTTTTCATTTACTATTGTGCATAGCATACAATTGTACCCTACAAATATCCTTTATTTGTATGAAAAATTCACAAATGTCAGCAATAATATTTCATCTATGCTTTACGCGTCATCTACAGGCTATTACATTGAACAAGAGAATCTTAATAATTCAATGTTCCTTAATGGTTATTCGAAAAACCTCTTTTCCACCCAACTTCTGAATCATACTCAAGATATCAATGATATTTCATTGAATGTCACAAGCCAACTTGATAAGTTGTATACAACGTTCAGTACCTTTAAGTATCTGAACCTTACTCAGTTCATTCTCGATCAAGGAATGACAGAATTTGTTTTTTCTGACGAAACAACACGGAATTTCACCCTATTTCCGGCCATCCTGAACACCTTGATATACTCATCGTATTTATACAACGTCACTGACTCTGAATTCCTTTCATCTTTTAGGAATTCGTTCACTGTTGTAAATACGATTATGAAATTCATTTCGAACTCGATTTTCCCGATCAAAGAGAGCATGGTTCATAACATGCACAGCAAAGTAATGGATATTCTTTATTCCGCTTATGTTGTTTTGTCAATTTTATTCATTGTCAACTTATTTTTCATTATTTATCTGAACAAAGCCTATGAAAAGTACTTCCATACTCTTATGATGATACCAAAGAACAGGATTTCCCTAATGATTGAGAAGATTGAGCATTTAATGCACAAATCTTCCAGAATTTCATCAAAAATTGAGAGCCCAAAGGCTTTTTACCTGAAGTAAATGATGGGACAAACACCTCCAAGACAGTTTTCGACGTCTACAGAGCGTTCTTTGATGCTTGTTTTTCATTGTATCTTAGTTGAACTGTTTTCCATAGTTGTTATCCTTCTTTTCGCAAGCAGTATGCAAAATAGACAAGATAAGATATATCTCGGCGTTGAAGAAATGTCATTTGTCTCAAATGTCTCATCTTTAATCACTGTTACAGGTGGTTTAGTGGCTTTAAAGGTCGGAAATGAGTCCAGATACAGCAAAGAAGTAGATTCAATGCTCCTGGATGTATATAATGACCTTTTAGTCGTTAAATCAATCTTATTCATGGAAAATATCTCAGAATACTACACAGCTGAGTATATTTTCAGGGAGAGATCAAGTACATTCCACTCTCTTGCAGGAGCAATTAACAGTTTATGTATGAATTTGCAGGTATTCATAAATTCAAACTCAACTTATGAATTTAATGACTCGCTCGTACAAGAAATATTTACTGCTCTCAATTGTGCATGGTACATGGTCGTTCCAACCCAAATCAACATGATTGTTGACGACAAACAGATTTGCAGTGGGTCAGTATGAATACAATGACATTCTATGTTGTATTGGCGTTCTGTATCCTCATAGATTTTAGTATTTCCCTTCTGACAAATAAATTCCATATTGATGACTTTGCCTTCATCATTTCCATGAATGCAGCCTATCTTCTAGACGGAACTAATACTCCTCTAGACGATAACAGGTCCAGAAAGAACAAGAAATTTGACTTAATCAGAGAATTAAAAGAAGAAGCGTTTTCCGGGGTAATTGATCCAACATTTCTCATTGATAGCTCAAATATCATTAGATACGCATCTCCTTCTGTCACAGATACCTTTAATTCATGTCCAGCAATCGGAATTACTCGAATTGACGCATATTTAGCCGAAAATGGTGTTCTTATTGACATCTCTCTTCCTCCTCGCGAACAATTGATACTAAATGCCGAAAGGAAGACCTCAGATGGCGCTGTTTTCATATTCAAACTGATTTTCAGGCCGATTTCGGACTTTACATTGAATGGAGCCAAAATCAACTACGCTCTTATCATTGTAGACAAGACAATCAAGAAAGGTATCGCTAAAAGAATGGTCCGAGAAGAGGCAATCCTTGAAAGAACGATAACATCTTTCGTTCCTAAGGGATTTACCCATAAATTGGCCCCATTTTTGGGCGTGGCCTATGTCACTTTTTCCGGGGAAGCTGTTGATGAAAAAGCTGTAGAAGTTACAACTAAGATCATGGAATTTGCATCGGAAGGAAACGACCTTCAGCCGATATTTAGATCCTTACAGGCATTCAGAGTCAACAGTGGAGCTTTGGTTGACAAAACAGCAACACAAGCTGTGAATGATTTGATTTTGTTCGCATTGAAGATTAAGGATTGGGCAACACCATTCAACTATAAGTATAAGATCACGATATCTGTGTATGAAAACGCTTTGGTTGAAACAGATATGACAATTGCACCCCATTTCGACTTTTTGACGCCAAGAATCACACAAGACTTGGAAATTTATCTGTTTGACCAACCATGTATATTGTTAACAAGGCCTGCTTTTGATGCTGTTTATGATTTGGGATATGAACTCGTTTTATCAACAAAATCTGTGAGATTCGGTCAGAGAATCGAAGTCTATTCTATTGTTTGATATTATTTTTTATATGTTTATTTGTTTTTATCTATAAATGTTGTTTGTTATTGATACATTTTTTCCTATTTTTAAAATTACCAGCATCCCGATTGCCTACGTCATTTACCGAAGTGCTTTCTAGAAGAATGGGAAGCTTGATGGAGAAAATATGATATGAGGACGATAAAAAAATTTCTGCCAATTTTCAAAATAAAATGGAAAGAACTATAGATAAAGAGACAGTTCTGATGTTCATCAAAGCATATTATACATCTTTTGCACATGATCCACAGTCCCTTGTAAAGTTTTATGATCCAGAATCATATGTTTATCGTCCAGGTATGGAAGGCAGTGTTGGCATTAAATTTGAAGATGCCAAAGAGCAGATTGTTAATTATACAAAACTTGGTTCTACAGTAAATGTTAAAAACTATCAGATTTTACCTATTGCTGATAAAACAAACGTAATAGTTAACGGAACTATCGAATATGAAGGACAAATAACTTCATTTACACAATTCTTCACTATTGGATTTAGAAATCAAGCAGTTTGGATATTATCAGACTCAATAACAGATTTCAATGCATCATTGTCAGAAGAAGAATTAACGAAAGATCTAGTTGAACCACAAAGAAATGAACGCCATCATTAAATTAGAAAAACAATACATTTTTAGATAATAAAATATTATTTATTTCTACAATATTGCTGATAACTTGCCTTACTTCTTACTTAATCAAAAATAAATACATGCTATTGAAATTTTATTTTAGATTGAAAATTTACTCTATTTTGTTATATTTTCCATATTCATGAAACAATTTCCTTAAAATGCATAATTTTTTGAGTCACACTATGTCATGCGAGTTATTGAACCTATCATTTCATTAAATTAAGCTAATTGTTTACTGAAAATAATTGAAATTTTAAATTCTTATCAGTGATTCGGTATTTCCAAGTAAAATTATAGACATTTCCTGATTTAATTTTTGAAAATATCACATTTTTCATTCCAAAATTTTTTCGAAAACAAAAAAATCAAGAAAAAAATTTTTAAAATTATAATCAAAAATTAGATTTTGAAAAAAATTTGGAATTACAATCATAACTAAAAATGATATAAATCAAGAAATTCATAGATTTTGCTTCATAAATTTGTTAATTATCAAAAATATAATTCTTTTTCAAATTAGATTTTAAAATACCGATGATTTTCACTATAAATAATAAAAAGAAATTAAATTGTATTTTACGGCAATAAACGGATAGTTGTAAAAAAAGAATGAAAAATAATATTTCTTACTGTTCATCTTCCTTTTCTTCATCATCCTTCTTTTCTTCCTCATTCTCCTCTGCCTTCTCTTCATTTGGCTGTTCCTTCTGTTCGTCCTCAGCTGCGCCGAAGTCGATGACCTCGTCTTGTTTGACGACTGCCTCTGTTTCACCCTCGGCGGCTGCGAAGTCGAAAGCGGATGGTGCCTCTGGGATTCCAGTGTATTCAACATCTTTGATTTTAGCGTAGAATTTGTTAGCAGCACCCTTAAGAGATGCCTGTGGTGCTGTCATGAGCTTAGCGACTTTATCCTTAACGTTGGAGACGGCGCCGTATGTGAACTTCTCACCGGCAATGTCGAGACCAGCAAGAGCACGAACTCTGACCTTCCAGTCTTGGTTATCGAGAGCAGCAACGAGTTCATCGATGCAATCGGCCTCGATTGTATTCCTGAAAGCTGTAAGTTCGCCGTTTGTTGGGAGAGCGCGGTTTCCTGTAACTTTAAGAAGCTTTGATGCTGGTGAGTTTGATGTTGATGCTGCCTTTGCGGCTGGAGCATCGATGACCTTCTTGTTTGCCCATGTTGGGTCCTGCTGAAGATTCTGGAACTGGCCACGTGTTGGTGGAGCGTATGTTGGCTGTGGCTGCTGATATGCTTGTTGCTGGTTGTAATCCATTGGTTCACCGTACTGACCTGGTTGACCATATTGGCCTGGCTGACCATATTGACCTGGCATTGGGTTGGCTGGTGGTGGGCGGTATTGTGGAGCAGTTGTGACCATGCCTGTATTTCCGATTGAATCGTATTTTGGTGGTGGCTGATTCTTGTCTTCGATCTTGAATGTCTTCTTGAAGAAGCCAAGAATTTCCTGGCCGACATCTTTCTGGCCACCGAGCATCTTTGGCTCTAAGGAAGCATTTTGATTATAGACAACTGTATTACCGCAAGACTCCATATAGGAAATGCCGGCTGTTCTGTTGTATGTTGGCTGATTGCCTTGAACTGGGATCTGAACTGCAGCTGTGAATGTAGGCTGAGCTGCAGCAAAAACAAGGTCAAGAAGAGACTGTGCTACATCGTTCATTTCCTGGTATGGTTCCCACTGACGTGTTGGGTGTGGGAGACCACGCCAGCTCATGCATTGAGAAATTTGAGCAGAATAAAGTCTAAGTTCGTTTTGGACAGATGGTGGGCCATTTTGTGTAAGATGAAGAAGATAACGAAGAGCTTTCAGTCTGATCATAACGCTTGGTTTTTGTAATTTTTCCATTGTTTTTGTAACAATACGGTTAACATTTGTAGCATCCTTACGACAGAGTTGAACTGACTCGGCAAGGACAGCGCCTGGCGCGGGGAGATCATTCTCTTGAGTTGCCTGATCGACAAGACGTCCGCAGGTGAACATTTTTCAAATTCTATCCAACCGAAAAAGTGATATGATCACAAATCGGAGAATTTTTGGATCATACTATTCCCTTAACCACAAAACTTTCAAATAAAAGAAATCAGAAACATTCGGATGACCCGAAATTTCATGAGGGAAAAAAAAGACCGATGGGGGCTTCTTGTCTCGAGATTATTGGATTAACTACTACAATACGCATTGATACAATATGACTAACTGATGGCGTGGATAATAATATTATAACTGCTCCATTTCAGAAATTTTTGATAATATCTTAATAGATTGGATTTTGACTTATATGTTGAAAGATTTCGCGAATGATATTCCTAGTTTAGCTCCAATATAGTTATTCAATATACTTGTTATCACGATCATATCGGATGTTCTTCATTTTTTGAGTTTTCGGCAGCATTTTGGTACTTATGAGCTAGAGGTCATAGCCTGCTCACAAAATATAAAATTCACGTCTTATTAGTCAGTATTAACCTCACAACCATTATCATCATTAGCAAATGAAGAAATGGTCCTATTTAGTACTATCAAACTTATATTATGAGTATTCAATAGTGGAAGTAAGATAAGAATTTTGTTGAATAAAAAAATAATCAATGTTACAAAGCACCTATAATGAACAACTCCACATGAAGTAAGATTTTTGAGGATTCATAAATAAGTCATAATTGGCGTATGTCATTTGTTCAATATATTCAAAATCATCAAAATGATTCATAAATTTTTAGTATATTCAACCAAGTCTGATGAGTGTGATTTCCATTCTTAGGATAGAAAAAACTTCATCGTCGCTGACAGCAAATTTGACAGATATTGATCATCGGCTTTCAGATAGTTTTATTTGGCCGTACTACATTTTACGAAAATCGTTCACAATACCATAATGGTCCAACAAGTATTTTTAAAAGATAAACTGAAGTAACTTCTTAATTCAATATTCTCTTAAAAAAAATCTACTCGATAGAATATTTTTTTTTCGAAATATGACCCAGAAAGCATCGACCTTTGTTATTTATCCAGGGCAGGTAATATCTGCTTCTGCAAGAGCAGAAAACAAGCATCTCATGCTTTCAATTGCAAGTGCAGATCCGTCTTTGAAGGAAGAGAAAATTACGTTGTCCGCCAACAACGTTCCAATCTGTACATTTTCGTCAAATCAAACATTAGTTAAGGTTGAAAATGTAGAAATTACTGAGAAAGAAATACATTTTTCAGTTACCGAGGGCAAATCACCAATTAGAATTTGCTTCACTTCAGATCACATCGAAGGCCCAAACTTCATAAGAATTGAGCCCAAGATCAAATGGAATGTCCAAATAGTGAAGTTTCCAAAGGTAATTTCCAACCAAGTCAATAAGATCAGGAATAACGCTAGACCATTGATTGAATTGGCTTTCTACATGGGATTCATGTTTAAGGAACCATTTTATCCGCTCAGGCATTTCAATTTCACACAAGAAATCAACGAAATCGTAATCGAAGCAATTAAAGATTTTGTTAAGGATCCAGAAAAGACGATCATTGATTTTGTCAAGATTGTTGAAGGTAATGTATTAAACCAGCATACCATTTACTTAGGCTTGGCCCACATTTTCATCCAAACAATCAACCAGTTCCCAGATCTCACCAATCTTGTCATCAACGAGATTACCAAGTCAAAGTTCAGCCTCGAGATACTTCCAATGATCGCTTCCTCGTCTCAATCGAACAAACTTATTCCTGTCATTCCAACATTGGAGATTCCGGACAAAATCAGCCCAGAAGCACTCGAAGCATGGCTTGATTTCTGTGCTCTTAGTGGCGCCTCAGTTCCAAAGCCTCTCTACGATCATTTCCTTAAAATTACAACACGCCGCCAGCTTCGTACATTAATTCCAAACTATATCGATAACGAGCCACTTACAGGCGAGGAGATCTCAATATCTCCAACCATTGCAGAATTACCGAAATCTCCAAGCAGATCTCCATCCCACTTCTATTCCAGCCAGATCCTCGACAGATCCCGCAACAGCACCATCAACGAATCTACCATGGAAACATCCGAGATTCTCCCAACCGGATCTCCTATCCGACCAAGCCGTCAACAGAAACAAGAAGAAGAAGCTCCTGTTGTATCCCGCGAACTCAAGTTTGATGACACTGATCTTATGGAAAACGAAGAACCGAAGAAGAAGCAGGAAGAAGAAGAAAGAAAGAAGTTGGAAGAAGAAAAGCGTAAGTTTGAAGAAGAGAAGAAGAAATTTGAGGAAGAAAAGAAGAAACAACAAGAAGAAGCCAAGCGCAAGGCTGAAGAAGAAAAGAAGAAGCAGGAAGAAGAGAAGAAGAGACAAGAAGAAGAAAAGAAGAGAATTGAAGAAGAAAACCAGCGCAAATTAGCTGAAGAAAAGAAGAGACTCGAGGAAGAAGCAAAGCGCAAGGCCGAAGAGGAAGAAAAGAAGAGAGCTGAAGAAGAAGCTAAGCGTAAGGCAGAAGAAGAAAAGCAAAAGGCTGAAGCTGAAGCAAAGCGCAAGGCAGAAGAAGCAGAGGCTCAACGCAAGGCTGAAGAAGAAAAGAAGAAACAAGAAGAGGAAGCCAAACGTAAGGCAGAAGAAGAGAAGAAGAAACAAGAAGAAGCAGAAGCTCAACGTAAGGCCGAGGAAGAAAAGAAGAAAGCCGAGGAAGAGGCTAAGCGCAAGGCTGAGGAGGAAGAAAAGAAGAGACAAGAAGAAGCTGAAGCAAAGCGCAAGGCAGAAGAAGCAGAGGCTCAACGTAAAGCTGAAGAAGAAAAGAAGAAACAAGAAGAGGAAGCCAAACGTAAGGCCGAGGAAGAAAAGAAGAAGGCTGAAGAAGCTGAAGCTAAACGTAAGGCCGAGGAAGAACAAAAGAGAGCCGAGGAAGAGGAAGCCAAGCGTAAAGCTGAAGAGGAAGAGAGAAAGAGACAAGAAGAAGAAAAGAAGAAGGCTGAAGAAGCAGAGAAGAAGAGACAACAAGAAGAAGCTGAGGCCAAACGCAAGGCAGATGAAGAGAAGAAGAAAGCTGATGCCGAAGCCAAGCGTAAAGCAAACGAAGAAAAGAAGAAGGCGGCAGCAGAAAAGAAGAAACAAGAAGCAGAAGCCAGACGCAAGGCTGAAGAAGAGAAGAAGAAGGCTGAGGAAGAGGCAAAGCGTAAAGCTGAAGAAGAAAAGCAAAAGGCTGAAGCCGAGGCTCAACGTAAGGCAGAAGAAGAAAAGAAGAAACAAGAAGAGGAAGCCAAACGTAAAGCTGAAGAAGAGGAAAGAAAGAGACAAGAAGAAGAAAAGAAGAGACAACAAGAAGAGGAAGCCAAACGTAAAGCTGAAGCTGAAGCTGAAGCTAAGCGCAAGGCTGAAGAAGAACAAAAGAAGAAGGCTGCTGCTGAAAAGAAGAAACAAGAGGCAGAAGCCAAACGTAAAGCCGAGGAAGAACAAAAGAAGAAACAAGAAGCTGAAGCAAAGCGCAAGGCTGAAGAAGAACAAAAGAAGAAACAACAGGACGAAGAAGCCAAACGTAAAGCTGAGGAAGAAGCTAAGCGCAAATTAGAAGAAGAAAAGAAGAAGCAACAAGAAGAAGCTGAGGCCAAACGCAAGGCAGATGAAGAGAAGAAGAAAGCTGATGCCGAAGCCAAGCGTAAAGCAAACGAAGAAAAGAAGAAGGCAGCAGCAGAAAAGAAGAAACAAGAAGCAGAAGCCAGACGCAAGGCTGAAGAAGAGAAGAAGAAACAACAAGAAGAAGCAGAAGCCAAGCGTAAAGCTGAAGAAGAAGAAAAGAAGAAACAAGAAGAACAGCGCCAACTCCAAATTGCCCAAGAAAAGAAGGCAACAGAACAGCGCAAAGAGGCACAACAATCCGCCAGAAACCAGCCACAGCCAAAGAACGTTGTTGATGAGAACTCCAAACCACTCAGCCGCGAGAAACACATCAACGACCGCAAGCAGACAGCAAAGAACGCAAAGAAGAACCGCAACATCCAGTCACGCGACATCTCCGGCATCACCAAGACACAAGGCGAAGTCCCTGTCGAATCACAAGAACCAGCTGACGACGAAATCGTTGTTGTCAACAGCCAATCATCAGAAAAACTTCCTGTTCAACCACGCGAGAAAGTCGAACTCGATCCAAACGAGTATCCAAGCCTCACATCTGCTCCAATCGCCCAAAAGAAGTCATACGGATGGGGAGCACTTCAACTCGACAACACAGGCGAAAACGTTGACTCCAAGAAGTTCGGACAGACAAAGAAGCCGAAGTACTACAACGATGACAGGAGACAGCGCCCAGATTACGAGTTGAGAGTTGCACACAGATACTACGCAATGATGGAGCAGCAGGCAGAGGAAGAAAAGCCTCAGGCATCGAACACAAAGACACGCGATGTCGATCTCACAGATTTCGGAAAGGAAGAATCGATTGTTTCAGAGAACAAATTCGCTTATCTCCAAGACGAAATCGATGAAGAGACAAAGAAGCAGATTGAAGAAGAGAAGAAGAAGCGCGAGGAACTCCGCAAGGCAGAGGAAGCAAAGAAGAAGGAAGAAGAACAGCGCAAATCTCAGGAACAACAAGTCAAAGAGACAGAAGAAGAAAAGAAACGCCGCGAACAACAAGAAAAAAAGAGACAAGAAAACGAAGAGAAGCGTCGTTTGGCACAGGAAGAGAAAGAGAAGAAGAAACAAGAACGCCGTGAAAAGGAAAGACAGCGCAAGGAAGAAGAGAAGCAAAAGAAGGAAGAAGAGAAGTTGCAGAAAGAAAGAGAAGCTGAAGAAGAAAAGAAGAGACAAGAACTCGAACAAAAGAAGAAATTAGAAGACGAAGAAAAGAAGAAACTCGAGGAACAAAAGAGAAAAGAAGAAGAACAAAAGAAGAAAGAAATCAAATCCCAGAAAGAAAAGGAAGAAAAAGAAAAACTCCAAGCACAAAAGAAGGAAGAAGAAACTCACAAACAAGAAGAAAAATCTCGTGAAGATGCTCTTATCCATCAGCAATTCCTCGATTCAATTTCTTTCGCTAACGAAGCTCTCAGCAAACAGAAGCCAAAGATCTTAGAACAAATCCCTGAAGCTGTTTCTCAGCCATCCAAACAAAAGAACGCCCAGAAACAAGCTCCGAAATCTCGTTCCGCAGCTGTTCCTTGGAGCATGATCGACCTCAAAGGTGACGAGGAAATCAACGTCAACCAGACAATCGCTGGAAAATCACAGCCAAAGAAGTACTCCGATGTTCCTGAGAGAGATCCAAACAACTACCAGCTCCAGTTGTTGGACAAACTCGACCAGAAACGCCAGTCTTCTGCAGAAACAGCTGACAAACGCCGCCAGCAGCAGTTCGTTGATGAATCAATGAATGAAGATGTTGTCATCGAGTCATCAAATACATTCGCTAATTTGGTTGACGAAGAAATGCAGGAGTCAATCAAACAGCAGCAGGAAGAGATGAGAAAGGCGAAGGAACTCGAAGAAAAGCAGAAGCGCGAGCAACAAGAACAAGAAGAAATGAAACGCAAGGCAGAAGAAGAGAAACGCCGCCAAGAACTCGAAGAAAAGAAGAAGAAAGAATTAGAACAAAAGCAGAAGGAAGAGGAAGAAAAGAAGAAGAAAGAAGAGGAAGAAAAGAAGAAGAAAGAAGAGGAAGAAAAGAAGAAGAAAGAAGAGGAAGAAAAGAAGAAGAAAGAAGAGGAAGAAAAGAAGAAGAAAGAATTAGAACAAAAGAAGAAGGAAGAAGAAGAAAACAAGAAGAAACAAGAAATAGAGCAAAAGAAGAAACAAGACGAAGATAAGAAGAAGAAACAAAAAGAAGAACAAAAGAAGAAGCAGGAAGAAGAAAAGAAGAAGAAACAAGAAGAATTAGAAAAGAAGAAGAAACAAGAGGAAGAAGAAGAAAAGAAGAAGAAGAAAGAAGAAAAAGAACAAAAGAAGAAACAAGAAGAAACTGCTGTAAAGAATGTTAAAAAGACAACTAAGGCTGCTAAATCTGTCAAAGTTGTTGAAGAAGAGGAAGATACAATAGTTGAAAAGGCAATCACTAAGCTCCTTGTTTGTGGAGCTGGCCTTGTCGTTTGTTATGCAGCTTACCTTTTCTCTACTAAATTTTTATAAATATTAGCTTTTTTTAATTTGTTTTATATACCCCTTTTTCAGCAAAACATATTTTTTCCCTTACAAAAAAAGGGGTTATGTTATAAATGTGATGGAGTTGTTCTTCACACCCATAAATACCGATAATCTCGTCAACTGCATGCCCTAAGGTGGACAATATTGAAAGGAATTCAATGAGTCCTCTCAAAAATAACCACCTTTTCATATTCAATACTATTGTCCACCTTTCGTCCAACTTAAATAATTTATTTAGAAACAACAAAACAAAATAGATATAATTGAATAATGCAGCAAGGTCCAGAAAGATCTAAAAAATCGAAATGACGGAGTGGATTTTTGATATAACTCATTAAGTGAAAATTATGAGATATTATAATTAAATTTTTCACATTATCCGAGATATTGGGAAACTAGCATCCAGGTAGCTCGGATATATGAGTAGTATCTATTTTTGGAGAAAACCCCAAAAGTTAAAGTAATGATTTACTAATGAGAACAATTATAAGAGAAATAAGTAGCTGAAAAGAAGCATCATTTGGTATGACAAACAATTACTTATTCGTAAGTTTCTGCAATGTATGCATGAGGAGAAATAGTGCTTGATTTGGACAAACGTTTATAAGCTTTTAGAGTAAATAGTTGAAGAATTTGTTGTTCCTAGTATGAGTGTGTTAAGTGGACAGTAGAGAAATTGAGTAGTAATGCATAACGGTTGAATTAATTTCGGATGATTTAAAATTAATTCGGTTTAAGCGTCAAGATATGCAGTTATGTTGCATACCCAATCATTTAAGCCAGATATCTTGTGGTTGCAAAGCGTATAGTGTCTTCGTTTCACCCACTAAAAATTAAAAAAAAATTTGAAAGGTACAGTCACTTCCTTCCAACCAAAATTATGGCCTGAAACTCTGGCTAGAGACTATACATAGCGTATATATGTAGATGTTTGAGCTTGGAGAAAATCGGCTAATACAATCTTGAGTTATATTATCCCCACGAATTATCTACAGAATTTACTTATATATCGACACGAGACGATTCAGTACAAGAAGTAGATCGGTTTTCTATCATAAAATGACTCATATATCAAAATAATGCAGTAGAATTGAAACAATTTACAATACTGGTATAAAATTGAAACTTACGATATTATGAACTTTATAACAATTAGAACAAGGATCTCAGATGTTAACTACAATCTTAGAATTACGTTTTTAATCTTCTAAATTGAAGATATATTTGACTAAAAACTTGATTTATACTCTATTTATCAGAATGTTTTACTGATTTAGCTTACACTTATTCACAATCTAATACATTTGTTTCAAAATTACATATTATTTGGTTTGATATTTGTGTATGAAATTATATTTTAAAATTGAAAGTTAAATTAGGTCAGGTGAGTGGGGCTTCCAGGCGCGTTGCGCCCTCTAGCCCATAAGAAATTTTGCCCAAGACCCAAGAGGAGGACCGAACCCCAGCCGACCAGCCGGTGACAAAACCAAAACCGTTGTTATTTACATCATATTAATAGTGTCACTTTTTAAAATATCACTTTTTGTGTCGCTTTTCACAAATTATATATGTTTTCATGTTTTGTCACTTTTCTGTCACTTTTCGGGTAAAAACATTTTTATTATTATATATAAATGAATTTTACAAAACCACCGTTACCATTCTTTGGAAATAAGAGTAGATGTAAAGATATTATATTGAGAGAACTTAAGAAACTACCGAATGGTCTAACATTTGTAGATTTGTTCGGTGGAAGTTTCTATATATCCCATTTGTGCCATACAATATTCCCAGACTCAAAGATTATATGCAATGACTTCGACAACTATATGGACCGTCTCAAACATATTCCAGACACAAACAATATATTGAAAGAGTTAAAAGAAAAGATACCTATAGGTAAGATGGAACGTATACCATTAGATAAGAAAAATATTGTGAGAGAGGTTTTGAAAAAGCAGAATATATAGACTGGGATAGTATATCTGCTAGACTATTATATAGTGGTGCTATAAGAGTTCATGACATTGAAACACTTATGTCAAAAGTTTTATATCTTAACTATACAAATGTTTTCAAAGAGGACATAGAAAAATATATTGAGGGTATAGAGTTTGTGAGATGTCATTGGACAGAGTTGTATGAAAAATATAAAGACAAGGAAAATGTTTTCTTTATAGTGGACCCGCCATTCTATAACACATGGGATTTTCAATACCAAGTAGACTGGACTTTGAGAGACTCTTTAGAAACTTTAGACGTTATACATAACCATCCATGCTTTTACTTTACATCCGATAAAAGTGGTTTGGAAACCGTTATGAGATGGTTAGAGGACATACATGACTATGAGTTTAGATATGACAAGATAGAATATGAGAGAGGTCCTATAAACTGGAGAAAGTGTCACAATAAAGAAATTTTATTAGTAAGTAAATGTGGTTTGAAATAGGACTACTTGTTTTAGGTTTTTTCCATTGTGTCATTTATTTATTTGACGTGGCAGAAAAGTACAGAGAATATGAAGATGAACCAATGCCTGCAAATGTTCAGCATATGTACTCGTAAGAGATATTTTTATCTAATATTAAATGGACGCAGATAGAATACATAACAAGGGTACGGAGGCACTGCGCGCCGCCATAACCATTATATGTGAATTTGACACTTTACAAAACCGCTAACGTATATTTTACAACACAAACAACAACACTAACTTAACATTAAATATTTACAAAGCCGCTAACCACTTCACCTCACTAACATTTTCGCTAACGACTTCACTAATGAAAAAATAAACGTTCTCACTAACGTTCCCACTAACGTTCTCATTTACAAAAGTATTGCAGCGCTTCCCATTGCTGTGCTTCACACAATAGTTCATATTCTTCAGTATCGCTGCTGTCGCTCCAATCGTCAGAGTCAAAGTCACTGTCAAAATAAATGTATGTAAGTTTTGACAAAGCTAATGAAACACGCTTACCGTTTGTATCTATTGCTTGTATAAACTTTCCATTATGCTTGTAGTCATAAACGCTCAAACTAACTTTACCCTTTCTCCCTCGTATCTGATAGAATGTATTTTCACGAGGAACGAAGAACAAATTCTTGAACTCATGACCGTTGTAGTTTGTTATCTCAATAGTTTTCGTCATTTATATAAAAATAAAATAAAAAATAAACTTAAAAATAATGATATCACCACCCCACACGTATGAAAACATAGCACAAAAATAAATTTAGGTGAAGAGGTGAGATCTCACCTGTTTTTTCACCCGGTTTTTCACCCTGTTGAATTCATTGCTTTATAACTCTCTTCCTTTCTCCAACTCTTCTAACTTCTTCTTAAGTTCAGCAATGTTGTCCTCATGAAGTTTAATCTTCTAATTCCTTCTTATCTAATGGTTGCTTTATCTTTCTAAACTGAACTCTACCATCCTTCATAGTATGAATGTAAAAACCTTCTGGAATAGTTCCTGATTTAATGTATTCTACCAAAAACTTTTGTTTCATTGCTTCAGTGACTTTATTTGTCATTTCAATCAAATAAAAATTTTAATATTAAATAAAAATAACGTTATTTTTTCAGTAAGGAAACGCAGGAGTTTTACGATTTATTTGAGGAGTAGGTTCTGGTTTAAATGTTGGAGTCGGTTTAGGAGTTGACTTTTGAACAGGAGTTTGTACTTCCATAGGTTCAGGAGTCATTGAAGGTTTTGCTTGTGAAGGCGTTGGTTTTGGCGAAGGTGTTGGAGTTTGTTTAACTTCAGCTACTTCAGTATTATTTACAACATTTGCTTTATTTCTTTTCAACATCATAACTGCTCCTGCTGTAGCTAGCAAACCTAGTGGGAGACCATATCTTATATAAGGACTTGACCAAATGCTATTTTTGACAGGAGCTGGTGGAACACCTAACCTTGGTGAGACTGCTCTTTGCCATTGTGCAGCTCGTAAGAAATATTCAATAGGTGCTCCATAATCGTTTGGTAAAGTTTGTTTCATAGATGGTGAAGGTTCACGAGAGCTTGATGAAGAACTCATTTATAAGCTTTAAAAATAAACGTTCATCCTTTATTCCTCACTGTCGTCCGTAGCTAAGTTATAGTCATCTAATCTTATTATGGGGATGCCATTAGCACGCACCTGAATGGCAAAGCAACAATCCCTCATAAATCCAATAAGTGGCTTTGGTACATTTTCAGTTGCTAGTTCAATAGGTCCTTTAACAGACAATTTGTATGTTATTGGAGCAGTAGATGTTTGACCTTGCTGGAAGCAAAAGTCCACTTCTGTTGGAAAACCACATAAGAAATGTGTGTTGTCATAGCTATCCCATTTATGTTCCACACTACCATCATCCACCAATGACCTCATAACATCTTCATTAAATCCTATCATATCATTGTTTGTATTGCAAGCGTTCGCAACCATTTCATAAAATACAGGTCCATATGATTTTTCAGGTTCTGCAGGCATATTTCCATAAGCTCCCATGGAAAGCTGAAGATATTTAAACTTAGGGTTCTCAAAATTAACATAATAGTTGTCTTTCTTTCTAAATAGTGCCCAAATACTTTTAACATTAATAGGCGTATAAGCTGCTGTAAATGTTGCACTTGAACTATCTGTATTCTTTGAGAATGAACCGTCCATAGGAATCCAATCCATAACTTTAACAGGAAAACATAAAGCCTCGTTTGTATAATGTTCTACAAGTTCTGTATAAATGTTAGGGTCTAAAGAGAATGACTTTGGATGAATGAAACATTCATTAAAATCCATCTTTGTTCGAAATAGTTGCTGGGTTACAGTTGTAATAGTAACTGTTCCACTAGCTTCTACTGCCTTCGTTATCATAGTGAATGGTTCATTCCATGGAACAAATTTATTTGTCGGTGGATTTGAATCTGAAGCAAATGCAACTTTAAGAGTTGGATTGAAAGCAATGATATCATTTACAGATATAGATGTGCATTGTAAGG